CCTTATTTAAATAAAGCATTTGAACTTAGCAGTGAAATCTAGGATGCGCGTTTCATCCTATTTGGAACTCGTCAGATGGATGTACCTGCATCTCAGAGTTGATGTTAACTCTGGAACTGGAACACAGTACCGTTTACTTCAAACTCAATCGCGTTATCCAATAAGAGACTGATCACTTGCAGTCCTAAACATCAATGAGAAGGTTCGAGTAAACAATATCAAGTGAATTTAAACTTCACCCAATTGCACAAGCAAGTGTCTATCAGGACTCAGTAGCTAAGTAAATAATGCGGTGGTGTTTGAAACGAATGGTACTTGGTCCGAGTACCAGAGTGAACATCAACTCTGAGATGCAGGTACATCCAGCTGACGAGTCCCAAATAGGATGAAACACTCGTCCTGGATTCCACTGCTAGCCACTATCCATCTTTACTTGTAGTGCTTGTAAATTAAGGTTATATCGAGACAATCCTCACAGCATGCACATATCCCAACATCAGACTGATCAATTGCAGTCCTAAACATCAATGGGAAAATTCAAGTAAACAATACTAAGTGAATTTACGTTTGAACGTATTTCCAATCAAAGCTACCCTAATCAATAATTTTTCTCGTTGGAAAACAAAAAGAAAGGGATTTTAAAGTTTTCACATTAAGGAAATAAAATTTTTGAACTTCAGCCAAATGAACAATATCAGGAAGATGTCATGTCTTTTCTAAGTGAAAGGTAGATTCAATTATGTTTAATCGATTAATTCAAAAACTTACTGACGTTTTATTTCCTTTGCAGATCATCAACTGATTTACATGGTTAAAGTGACCTGTGATTGATTAATGTGTGTGAAGATAGATATTACCTAGCTACATTAAATATAGTCGACTATCTTATTTGATAAGAATTTATTCCTTTAGTAATCCCTTTTTACTGAATACTCTATATTATTTCACAAGTTGAAATCATGAGCCAATTGAAGCTAGACCACCATGGAAAACCTGGAAGCACTGGGCGGCCGTTTCGTCCTAGTATGGGGCTCCTCAGCAGTGCGCATCCACGAACCAGCCCCCCGAGGGATTCGAACCCAGGATCTACTGGCTTCGCGCGCGAGCACTTAACCATTAGACCACTGAGCCGGCATCCAATGGTTTTAATGTCTAAGTTTAACCAATCCACGAAGTTGCACCACTCTATAATATGTTGTAGTTAGCCCATTCAAATATTGTATTATTTATCTGCTCACTATAAGTGAAGATTTATTAGCCCCAATACACTATGACAACGACGAATCGAATATAGTCTAAAATACACTGGTTTATATATTGACTGTACACCCATTTTGAATAATAATTAGGATTAAATCACATACTCAGTTATAACCAATCACTTACTGATCATAGTTCATGTCAAGTAAATACAAGAATATGGTTTATTATACAGAATAAAATATCATACTGGGAAAACAATCAAATACTACACTGAATGATCATCACATTGAATTAGAAGGGAAGTAATGTTGAACAAAACTCATAATGATCAAATCAATCGAAAATTGACTTTTCTTTCCAAGTAATGCACCGACACCAGTACGGACAAAGTTTGAAAAGCAATCCACGTACGAAGTGGGATGTCCTGTGTTTACCCGTGATTACAGACCAACCCATGGTCCATGGACGGAAGCGCGAGTGGTTAGAAGAGTTGGCCGAGTCATGTACGAAGTTGAGGTAGGCAGCGACAGTTGGCAACGCCATCGGAATCAGTTACGCAAACGGTTAGCCCCAGACCGCCCATCAACAGAAGCAAATATTTATCTTGACATCCTGCTAAACAAATTCAACTTACCGGCAACCCTATCACAAGAAAAACCTCAACAACAAGCTGAAACACGTCTGAGACGGTGGCCTCTCCGACAGCGGCGAGCAACAGTCAAGATGCAGGTCGACCCCAGGAAAGCACGCTATTAAAAAGGGGAGGAGTGTTAGGGACGATAGATCCTCAAAACTCATATTTCGTAATTTGAATGGTAGTCAATTGATGAACTAGCCGACTAAATGTTTAAATATTTGAAAAGGCAGTCGATTGACGAACTTACTGATTAATGTTTAAAAAATTTCCATGACAATATCGATTATAAATATTTGTATAAATACGCTCGATTTGTGTGCCTGATTGACCTGGTATCTGCTGGTTGCCTGTAGAATACACTTCTACGTCTTACCAAGACTTCTTGATCGAGTTAGCTGAGTCGGGGCAATGGACCAGAATAGCCTATTGAGTCTCTGAATCCTGATACTTCGTTTAGTTCCTAATAAGCCAAATCAGTAGTGCCATTCAAGCTTAACGAACCTAACAAGACACTTGTTCCATCATGTAATTTGCTGAGTATGATTGAGTACATGTCTGCACATCAACTTCCAATCTATTCTCCCATTGGTTGTAATACACAGATAATCAATAATTTATCCATACTTGATTAACACTCAAAAATATATATGGATTTTTAGCACTCACACACACACACTCTTGGTTTTCCTGCCTGCTTGCCTCCTGTACGCCTGCGGATTTTACCAATCTTTAACAATGAACTAACTCTATAACTGATGTTCAGGCTTTTGAATGATCTCGATTAAATTCATAATTCTACTAGGAGATTTAGCCTGTATTAAATACTCAGTTAACGGGATACTATTTATTGGAGTCAGATATAGAGGAAATTAGCCTCTACAATGTATTGTACTGATCGATATTCAGTTTTTCAATATAACAGCTGAACTATTAAATGTAAGTGTATCATTTCATCAAGTAATGTTAACAAGCACTAACGGGTATATAGCAGTATTTGACAGAATTCAGTAATGATGTTAATAAAAGTGTTTCCATTAAAGCTAAACACCGAATGTAAGCTAATTTTGAAGAAACTGAAATCTTCAATAAACGTTGATTGTTTTGATCAACTGTAAAATGGTCAAGTTATTACTAGAATGGGGAGAATTTTTTGGGTAATTTTAATAGTTGAATTCACAAGTTGATGTGAGCTGGATCACCGTTGAAGAGCTGAAAGCACTCAACGGCTGTTTCGTTCAAGAACACGACTTCTCAGCAGTGCACATCTACGATCTCGGCACATGGGACTCCAACCTTGGACCTTCAGTCTCACTGGCGAACACTTGACCTCTAGAGTACTGAGCCGGCATCCACTGGTGTCAGTGTCTAACTTTAATCGATTTATGATCTTACTCAACCATTCATTTATTACAGTCCAGTGTTTCCAGGTTTTCGACGGTGGTCTGGTCATGACTTCAATTATTTTATAGGTATCAATATCAAGGTTCGACTTGACAGTTTCAAATAAATCGAGCATTTGTTAGAAAGTTAATAATACATTTATTTATTGTATCCCGATGAGTGGAAAAACTATATTTCTGTCGTTTCATAACTTAAGGTAAGCCACATCTTCAGAACATAGGAACTCAAAATAACTGTCAACCAATATCAAAATCAGATTCTTCAATACGAACGTCAAGATAGTTCTAATGTACGGAGATGAAACATGGAGAACTACTACAACCATCATCAAGAAGCTATAAGTATTTATAAATAGTTTTCTACACAAGATACTCAACATCCATTGGCCAGATACCATCAACAACAGCCTACTGTAGGAGAGAACAAACCAGCTTCCAGTTGAAGAGGAAATTAAGAGAAAACGTTAGAAGCGTATAGAACATACATTGTGCAAATCAACAAATTGAATCACGAAGCAATCCCTAACTTGTAATCCTGAAGGGAAACAGAAAAGAGGAAGTTCGAAGAACATACTACGTTAGGAAATGGAAGCAGATATGAAAAAGATGAATAACAACTGAAAAGGACTGCTTAGGACAGGTTTAGAGAGAGAGTGCTGGTGGGCAGCCTATGCTCCTCCACGAGGAGTAACAGGAGTAGATAAGTAGATACCTTTTCAGAGTCAATCTACTAAGAAGAATTGGCTTACATTAAATCACAAAATATCAGAAATATAATTTTTCTGCTCATATTATCTATTCTTTTTTTCAGTGATTGAGATCAAAAGTCAACTGAAGCTAGGCGATCATGGAAAACCTGGAAGCACTGAACGGCCGTTTTGTCCTATTGTGGGACTTCTCAGTAGTGGGCATCCGCGATCCCTCTTCGCAAGGTTAAAACTCAGGACTTATCAGTCTCGCGCAAGAGCGCTTAACCACTTAACCAATCATTCAAAAATAAACAAAACTACTTTCAATTATTATTATTATTTTATTGTATTATTTATTAAAGAGGTTATAATTTCATAATTCAATATGTAAATCTGAAATAATAAAACAAAATAGTTCATGTTAAATATTGAATTACTCTATGAACTTTAAAAAAGTATACATGATCATACTGATTGAAATCGTGAGTCAACTGAATCTAGACCACCATGGAAAACCTGGAAGCACTGGACGGCCGTTTCATCTTAGTACAAGACTCCGCAGCAGTGCACAACTTTGTGAATTGGTTGAAGTAAGACACTAACACCGTCGGATGCCAGCCGGCTCAGTGGTCTAGTTGGTTAAGCGCCCGGGACAAGACTGATAGGTCCTGAGTTCGAATCTCGCGGGGGGCGGGATCGTGGATGAACACTTCTGAGGAGTCGCATACTATGGTGAAACGGCTGTCCAATGCTTCCAGGTTTTCCATGGTGGTCTAGCTTCAGTTGACTTATGATTTCAATCAGTGAAATTTGTAAAATCTCCACAAAACCGCTTCTGATACATGATCATAGTTTTCTTTTATTCATAGTAATATAAACTTACTTAAGCGGTCATTTCAAGCAGAAATGTCATTATTGTCTCTATAGTTTCTAAGCACTAAAAGAACAATCAAATGAGACATTTAGTTAGATAGAAATTGAAATATTGAATCTGAAAAAAAAGTATATATTAGTGAAGAGTTAGTTTATATTAGAGAGTCCAATAATAAGACGAAACGGCTGTTCAGTGCTTCCAGGTTTTCCACGGTGGTCTAATATCAACCAGTCCATGATCTCGATGAAAAAAACGTATATTAGAGAGTTGATAAATATTCGAAATAGTAACAATCAAGTGTTTGTATTATTATATATTATCGATATATTCATATCATTATATGGAAAATGTATGTCTATAGGAGGATAGATGAAATTACATCACAAAAATCGATTCAGTTGAAATGATATTGTGATATGTGCTACTGATGTCGATAGACATAAGTAGTATGTATTATCAATCGAAATTGAAATGTTTGGCGGCATAAGGTTAAGAAAATAAAATAAAACAGAACAAGAACAAAGAGTGATTGATGTAGAAACAAAAGAACAATAAAAAATGAATGACATTTTCCAAATGAATTATTTACTGTATGGTTATCAGATTTTATTAAGGGATTCTGTAATTTCGAGTTTAAACACATTTGATTATTCCCACTTGTGTTTTCGTTCAGTACAATAACAGTAAAAATACTTACTATGCCTATTACTTGGCAATGATACACCCCTTTTTTGCAGAACAGATTCGTTTTTACTGTTAGTGATTAATTGATCAGTAAATTCTAAAGTTAATTGTCTGTTATGCAACCATACAAGAAAGGATTACATAAAGTCATTCATATCTTGATTAATTGCATAAGTAATATAGTGACTGAAAAGTTTAGTCTTACTAATGATTTAGTCAAGAATAGGATCTATCATTTTAATGACACGTTTAACATAATTAAAAAAGAATGAAATAGAAAGTGCTTAATACTTAGTCGACAGCACACACAATGAGATGAGAGTCAAAGAGTATACACATGAGGAATGAACTTCTCAACAAATTGGTAATTCTGACAGTATGGAATCAATAAACCTTTATTCTCCATATTCAATTGACCAGTATATAGAATTTTGATCAGTAGTATGATGAAATTTTACTATGTACGTTCCTGCTGTTTACTTTAGACGGAAAGATCATATTATTCTTTAGATGATATTTATCCCTGATCGATAATTTTTGAGTACCAGGAACCACTAGATATCTGTTTCATCTAAACGTAGGGCTCGTCAGAAGGGTATACTTCAAAACCACACACCAAAAATAGAATTGTGGATCTTAAGGTCTCGAGGGAGAGTACTCACTCATTAAAACCGTTGGGATATAATTTACTGGAAAACAATCTCAAATTCAAGAAATTTATTGTATCTCGATTATCAGCCAAAAATACTGGTGTCGACTTTTTCTCAACCGAGATTTTTCAACTCCATGGGCTATGACTTCTAACTAGAACTTCAGGAACGTATCACGAATTGAATCACTAGTGAGATCATAATTTAGCTCTAGTTGAAGTGGTTTAATGAAGATCAATTTATTCTGTAGGTAGCATTCGTCACATAAATGTATGTCATTAAAAGTCGACCCGATGATCATATTAATTGCGCTCTCCTTATGAGCTTTAAAATCTTTATTTTCAAACAGCTTATTTTATTAATGAAAATGTCTTTGAAAAACACTACCAGCAAGTAGTTTGAGGACGAAAAATATCTGAAAATGTTTATACAAGACTTGTATTGTCAATATAAGCTTGTGTAGATTGTTGAATTTCGTTGCGACCATGAACAGATCATAGTTCAACCTTGTCGGCTATGAGGAAGATGACCATCGAAGACAAAGAAGGATGGTCATGAAATATCGTGGACTGAATGAAATTCGACACACACACAACTATATCAAGTCTCAGCGGTCTAGGTATTAAGCTTTTACATACTAAATCGAAAGTTCTGATTTCGATTCTCAGGTTCGATGTACTGTCAAGATCCAAATTTGCCGCTTTTTAATCATTTATCTTTAGTTTAAATGACTGAATTAAATTGTTTTATGGAAACGTTTATTCATGTTAAAGACAAGTTCAGATGAATAATCACTGAAAATAGCTGTTTCATTCTAATTTGAAACATTGATCATTCAAAATTTTACAACTGATCACAATTAATATCCTTCATTTCTCAAGGTGAAGTTATTCAGTCCATCAGCTATAACGTAAGACCAGGCATATATATGCATCAGTTCAAGTTGCCATACCTCATTCGCACAACAAGATGAACATCAAATTCATAGTTACTTAAAAGGTAGTAATATAAAAGAAAGATTGTGTATAAGGAGATAGTACAGGAGGGAAGAATTAGTAGGAAAGGTATAAAGTAATTTTAATCTCACGATTTCAGCGAAGACAGAGAGTGTATACACCGACGCCATTGTGATCGATTATGACCAGACCATTGCTGCTACCTTGACGTGGTGGTCGAGCTCGCCTATCGTGATCAACCAAACAATCGTTCCTCAAAGTCCTACCACGTCAGACAGGTCGGTTGAAGAGTCGTTAAACTAAAAGCAATAAATCCAGGGTCCGAAGGCGATGTTGTACTGCTGATTGTACAGAGGCGTGACGGTAGTAAGGTGTTTCCTTCAGATAACCAGCATGACAGTGAGACTGCCTTCTTAAAAGAAGGGGTGGGGTTAGAAAAGGTCGACCCTAAAAATGCACATCTCACCTTATCCCACGGATATCCGTCTCCGTTGGTAAGGTCTCAACAAGTATGGAGCTAACACGAAAATTGATCACAAAAACATCGTGTGTGACCGACCTCCAGTAGTTGTCCCTTGGTCACTGCAGTCACTCTCTCAGGTCACTAAGACTACCTTTAATCCAATTTCCTTTTCAGATATCGCGAGAAGAACCTTTTCTTGGGGTGGGCGACCATGAAGTGATAATTGCTCTCATAGCTCTAACAGTAATTAAGGTGAAGTAAAATAATAAAAATAACTTAATTAGAACTGAAAAAATTACATTTTCAACTTGATTCACATGCACTAACATGAGATGATGAGTTCACAATATTGATCTATTGTTCCCCATTATGAAAACCATCTCAAAAATTATGAATACTTACTTTGTGTTTATCAGCTGCATGATGTTTACATATATTCTTTATGATTATCTCTTCATATTCTGGTGATTTGGCTAAAGACAAGCCATAATTTATATGCTCATTAATGCCTACATTGAAAAAGAAATATAATAAAGAATAATGTTTTGAAAATCAATAGGATCTTTTTCCTAAAATAAGTCATCAAAACATTGAAGTTAGACTGTTACGAAGTAAATTTTAAACTATACAATCCAACTTTATTAAAACAAACTAACATTTTATAAATTTTTTATCTCTAGATTGAAAGATTTAGGAATGATACAATATGTTATTTATCAATTTTACTAACCAAAGACAATGAATGATGGGCGCACACTATCGTGGAGTGGTTAAAGTTAGGTATTAACACCATTTCTGTCTCGGCTTTATGGTCTAAAGGTGCTGGGTTGGAGCCTTGCGTGCAGGATCTTGGATGAGCACTGCTGAGGAGTCCTATTCTGCGACGAAAAAGTCATCCAATAAAGTGAACGTCATCCATAAGATTATAGTGTGTGGAGGAACGTGACGCCAAAGGTGTTACAGTTATCAGATAGAGTGAAGAGTTTCTGTGCATCGAAAGCACGGGTTTGGCGGAACACTTTGAGACCAGACGAGATGACAGTTTATATAGCAAAACATATCGTAAGATGCCAACGGAAGACTGAAGTGTCTGTTCAACTGAATATATAATTACTTTGTAACTTCTCATGTCGAACACAGTCCTCCTTTCTATTGTCGTGTTTTACACCAGTGTTCACGGTTTTCAGTTGTTGTGATCGCTCGTTTCTGGCTGTTTGCAGAATATACTTTCCATTCCAAGCTTGGACTTCCCCCTCTGGTTAGCGGGGCTGGGGCGCATCAGTAGCTACCTTACTGGTCTTTGATCACCAAGTCTTGTTTCGCGTTCGCAGATTAAGTGAACTCGTGATAGCTTCGAACCTAGCAAATTTGATCCTATCCCCGTCTCCAAATTTGCTAGGTTCGAAGCTATCATGAGTTCACTTAATCTGCGAACGCGAAACAAGACTTGGTGATCAAAGACCAGTAAGGTAGCTACTGATGTGCCCCAGCCCCGCTAACCAGAGGGGGAAGTCCAAGCTTGGAATGGAAAGTATATTCTGCAAACAGCCAGAAACGAGCGATCGCAACAAACACAATTCAAAACGTATATATATATATATATATATATATATATATATATATATATATATATATATATATATATATATATATATTCAATATTGCTATGGAAGTTTGTTTTAAACATTTAATCGATAAGTTAGTCAGTCGACAGCCATTGAAGTATTTAAACATTTAATCGGTAAGAATAGTTTAGTAAATTAACAATTATACGGTAAAAATATACGTATAGTTTTGGTCCACAATTGGATCCCAAAAATTACCACCCATTACTCTTATCGGGGCATAACATCAATGATGATCTAACACTAATCGGTTCAAGCCCGGGATCTGACTCCAGGTAGGTCGTTTGCTGCTTGCTATCAAAATATACATGCCGCCAATCCTCGCATATAATCATCAACTTCAATTGTGTTAGTGTATAACGGAATTAAATAAGTCAAATACAAGAACGAAGTTTTGAATACGTACATTTCGTACAATCGTTGATCTGAACAAAAAATCAGGGAGACGGAGAGAAGGAAGCGAATGGGCGAGAGAGAGAAATGAAAATAAGTGATACTTAGTGGAGTAGGCGAGTGAACCAACTCCCCGCAATCAAGTGTTAATCGATATTTATGGTCAGATAAAAATAATTTACAAACAAATGATAAGTAAGATAAGAAATGTACACACATACGCTCACATAAAAACAGTCAAGGTTGATAAGCGAATAATTGACCGGGTTTAAATGTGGCTTGAGAAGAATGAATAGATTGATCCGTCTAGAGGTTAGAATAACCCATGTGAGCTTGACATAGTACGAACCCCTACAAGCTCAACAATCTTCACAACCTTATACTAATAATTGTATATTATTGGATTTAGATTACCCAACTTTATAACAGTAAAATTTGACGTGTGAAAAGCCAATATCAAGCAGTTGAAATGGTAAATGCTCCATTGACTAACTTCAATAGAACATTATAAGCAATTCATCGAGAATATATGTATTTAATAAATTTTATACTTACATGATGAAATTTCAGAATCTGATAACATTGTGTGTTCATGGTGACAGAAACCTAGTTTCTAATATATAAAAAAAGAATTATATAACTGATTGAAACACATAAATTATATTTATAAGCAAAGATGGATAGTGGTTAGCAGTGGGATCTAGGACATGAGTTTCGTTCTATTTTGGACACGTCAACTAGATGTACCTTCATCTTAGAGATAATGTTCACTCTGGGACTCGATTAACAACAATGAGAAAATATAAAAAAACAATACTAAATGAATTTAAACTTCATACCATTGCAAAAGCAAGTGGCTATCAGGACTCAATAGCTAAATGGATAATGAAATGGCGTTTGAAGAGAATGGTACTAGGTTCAAGTCACTGACTGAATATCAACTTTGAGATGGAAATATATGTCTGACTGATGAGTCCCAGATAGGACGAAACGCGAGTCCTGGATTCCACTATTAGCCATCAACATCCATCTTTACTTATAAAATACAATTGTATATATTTTGAAAATGAAGTTGTTATTAAGAACGAATTATTTTATGAAACTGATTACAATTTATTCAGGCTAACCGCCTAGTTGATCATTACATATATACTTAAGTCATATGGATTTTGTGTAAAATGTTATTAACTTATGTAATACTTCAAGTATCAAAATAAAGAAACAGGAAATTTAATGATTAAAACAAAAAAAACATCATAATAATAAATAGTTTACTTACAGAACATTCTAAGGTAACATTGATATGATGAGCCAATTGATGAATTGTCCTCGGTAAATAGTGTGTAATGTCTAGACACTGTTAAAAATGGACAATATATATATGAGATGATGGAAAATATTTGCAGCTCAGGTGGATGGTTTTGACGGAATTTTATTCCCTGAGATCGATGGTTTTATCATGGAGCTTTCATCGTTATTCTGAACGATGAAAGCTCCACGACAAAACCATCCAGCTCAGAGAACAAGACTTCGTCACTATATATATATATTATATATATATATGGCAATTGTCAGCAAGGTTTATCTATAATCGTGAAGGAATGGAGGCTCAGTAGTATTGTCTCTGACTTCTAGGTTAGGTGACACGTAATAGGATCTAGCAGGAAGCACTGATCCATTCACGATTACAGGTACATTTTACTAACAAGTACCAAAAAGCGCGAAATCTGTATCCAAAGTCACTTGTTGACCATCTATTTCTAAACAAAGTATACATTCTCCGCAAGAATCTTGCGGGACATGATCGTGAATGCACATTGCCGAGGAGTCCCATCCTAAGATGAAACGGTCATCTAATGCTTCCAAGTTTTCCATGGTGATCTAGCTTTAAATGGCTCATGAATTCAACTATAAAAGTATATGTTTCCAAATTTTCCGATTAGTGTTCCCAATATTTGAATATAACATAATCTTATATTTTTAATTAAAGCGCTTCAAAATGTAGATTTGAAAAAGAGTTCAATGTAGTCAAAAAACTTGATCCTTATTCATTAGTTTCCAATTAGGATTTTTTTCTTAATTCCATTTATTTTGAACATGAAATATTACATTATTATTTTGTACTGTGAAGAGTACTACTTAACTCCGCCTGGAGTCCCTCCGAGGGCTACTGCCGGTTCCAAGCCTGAATAAAGGAGGAGGATTGGGCATGGGGTTAGCGACCCCATCCCATGGAAAACTAATTCGCTAAAAAAACGCTAACCAGAAAAAATCATTCAAACCTTTTAAACTGTGCCCTGGGAGTCAGAAGGTCTTCATTTAGAAGAACTATGACGTCTCATGGTGAAAGCCGAGTTCCTTCAGAAGTCACGAAGCCGATGCCCCTTCTGACAACCAGAGCAACAATTTATCTAGGTACATGGAATGCTCGTACAATGTGGGAGACCTGGAGAGTCTTCCAAATTGCTGCAGAATAGTACTACTTATAAGTAGTATTTTAAACCTCTTAATTAAAGATGAATATGTTAATATTTTTAAAAAAAAATAGTAATAATATGAGTATATTACTTCATCTTTCCACTGTTCTTCAGGAATTAATTCGCATATCTGAGATATTATTTTTGAGGTTAATGGGAGGAATGGTTCATGTTCAATGAACGTTTTTATCAATCTTCCTATACGTCTACAAATTCCGCATACTAAAAGAAAAAAACAAACGATTATGATTATTGCGTTAATCTAAGAAGAAGAAGAATTCTTGTATAATAAATAAATTTCGTAAGTGATATTTATCATGGTTTAATGTTACTGAAGGTACTAGGAAGTACTGGAGAAGTGTTATGTCTTAGTATGGAACTCATCAATAATGAATACTTATAACTTTATTGGGAATCAAATACAGAACTTTCCAGTGTAGCTATATAAGCTTAAAGTTTAAACTAACTTGTTCAATGTTTCCTTATACAGGGGGGAGATAAACATTCACATATAGGCATTTATTAGAAAAAGTACCAAGAAACAATCAGTCACAGTTTGATAATCTTTTAGAACTTCAAAATACCATACAACATCACTCATACTTCACTATCTTGCACTGGTCAACTGCAATTATTGATGATCAAAATTGATTCAGAGTTAGATTGATTACCATTCAACGTACGATCCTATAGCAGATGCGTATCACAACATATGAAATAGAATGTTTAATGAAAAGTATTACCCTTTTTATCATAACTGTTACTGTAAAATGTTTCAATCCATTTTATATGAACAAGATTTAAGTTAAAAACAAAGATAGATAGTGGCTAGCAGTGGAATCCTGGATGCGCGTTTCATCCAATTTAGGACTCGTTAGCTGGATGTACCTGCATCCCAGAGTTAATGTTCACGCCGGGACTCGAGCCCAGTACTGTTCACTTCCAACGCCATTGAGTTATCCACCTAGCTACTGAGTCCTGATAGCCACCCGCTTGTAAAATGGGGTGAAGTTTAAATTCCACTGCTAGCCACTATCCATCTTTGCTTACAAAGCTATATCGAGACAAGCCGCACAGGATGCACATATGCCAACATGAGACTGATCAATTGCAGTCTTAAATAACAATGGGAAGATGCAAGTAAAACAACACCAAATGAACTTCAACTTGAAATGTTTTTTTAAAAAAAAGATGAAATGAGTCAAGTCTTACAGAGATGACATTGTGGTCTTTTCAATTGTTCACCGTATATCTAAAGAAAAGTATAAATGTTTGTAAATGAGATAAACAATATTGATTTTAAAAAGAATATCATATAATCTGAATAGTTAAGTTGATATTATCACTGTAATAATGTCATCTTAAAAGGTTTGAATAATGGAGATAGAAATGAGAAAAATGAACAAGAATTGGATGGAATTAGAAAAGAAGGCCCAGGACAGAGTGGGTTGGAGAATGCTGGTCATCAGCCTATGCTCCATTAAGAGTAACAGGCGTCAGTAAGTAAGTAATGTCATCTTAGTTGTATTCTCTCCCTATGACTAAGATTTGTATTACATGTAAGTATTAATATAACAAACTTCTATCTGAATTTTGTGCTGATGTTGTCGTTCAGAAGAACGATGAAAGTTTCACAACCAAACCAGTCATCTCAGTGAACAAAACTCCATCAAAATCATTCACTTGAACTACAAATCTTTTGCATCATTTCAAAATCTTAATGAAAATCAGATTTATTAGTGTAGTTTTCCTACAAAACAGAACTGATACTGAAACAGATTTTTATGACAAACACATATCAACTGGAAATAACGTCAGATGACTAACTAATTCTATTCTTATACAATTAAAATCCAACATCACGCGGTAATTGTGAAATTTCAATTTATGGTTGAACGCAATGCCGCCTACTCAAGTTATCACGATGTTACAAGCCTAATTCGTACGACTCTGATTATAAAAAAGTTACAGTTCACTTTTCGAATTAACAATCAAAGTAATGTAACCAACAATGCTGTAAGTAGTTGTGTAGCTTACTCATTAAATGGGAAATAAATCATTAAATACATTTTGAAATTTTATTACTTGGTATACTGACTTCTAGTAACTTAAAACATCATATCATTCAAAGAATAACACATTATTAGTGTAGGGATTTGTGGAGATTGAGGTGTTTTCACGGTTTATTTTAAAAGTCTGATTAAGCTAGACCACCACTGAAAACCTGGAAACACTGGATGGCCGTTTCGTCCTAGGTTGGGATTCCTCATTAATCCACGATCCTGCACCATAGGAACTCAAACCCAGGACTTTTGAGCTAGCCGGAGAATGCTTAATCTATAGACTAATGAGTCGGCATCCAACGGTGTTAATGTCTACCTTTTATTAATCAATGTACTTATTTATATTCGATAAATGTGATGTTTGATTATACTTCGTTGTGAAAGCTTGGACCAGATTATCAGACAAAACGTTGGATTTACTTTTAATTCATTCGCTGAGATTTGTCAAATACATTTTTCCTCCTCAATATGTATCAATAGTTTGTAAACAATCATTATCAGCTGTTTATTCAGTTTCTATGCTCATCTTTATTTATGAATAGTTTATAAAGGTGAATTCTATGTTAATCGGTTATTGCTTTTACTTAGAAAAATATACCATATTTAAATAGTTAAAACAAATTTTTAACAAAAAAAATATTATCAGGAAGGGGGTTTTGTAGAGATTGTAATAAATTGGAAGCACTGGACGGACGTTTTGTCCTCAAGAGTACACATCCACAAGAGACCGAAAGTCTTCTGTTCGAATCCTGTGAGCGAGGTCGAGGATGTGCAGTGCTGAGGAGTCCCATACTGGAACGAAACGGCCATCTAGTGCTTCCAGGATTTTTATGATGGTCTAGCATCAATGGACTCATGAATTCAACTATTAAAAATAGTATATACTTTAAAACTGGCATTAAAGTTTGACATTTAATTAGAAAACTATCTATTATAAACACTAACTTGACAAATATATCTGATGATCAAACGCGGTTTTTGTAGATATTATATTAATTTCAATAGACCAAAGGCCCAGGTTCGAATCTTGCGATCAGGATCGTGGCTGCACACTGCTGAGAAGTCGCACAATAGAACGAAACAGCCTTCCAGTGCTTCCAGGTTTCCAAAAGTGGTCTAACATCAATCGATTCATGATCTCAATCAAAAACATAATAATCTCCATAACCCCTATATTAGTAATTTCAATAGTTGAAACCATGAATCAATTAAAACCAGACCACCATAGAAAACCTGGAAGTATTGGACCGTCATTTCATTCTGTTATATGACTTTTTAGTAGTACGCATCCACGATCTCGTCTCGCAAGATTCGAACCGAGAACCTTCAACCGTTCAATGATCCAATAAGAAATCATCCTATTTAATATTTCGTTTGAAGGAGATAAACCATTTTATTAAACAAAAGATTACTTATACTTTATATACTTACATTCTCTTCATTTCCTAAGGTTACTTCATTGATACCTAGAAACAATAAAATATAAAGTAACAAAAAAGATACACTTTTTGTTATTGTTTATTTACTTAATAAAATAATGAAAATGTAAAATTGCTTCAGTATGGTTTTCATTATTGTTTATTTCAGTTAAAACATAATTCAATTTCAATGTTGTATTTATACCATTTTTCTTTTTCTTCTTTCTTGTTGTTGTTGAACGGAACTGAACTGAACTGAACTGAAGTATTCACCGTTCAATTGTTCAATGTTCAATTTATTGAATTTAAAATGTTTGTTTAAATAAAAGAGTAAAGTTTATTTTCATATAATCAAAGTATCAAATACATCAAGTTGATTACATGGTTTGTTTTAATGTATTCATCAATGATGTAAATAATTTCGTTTCTACGTATTACGTCATCATTAGTGGTATGAGGTATATTTTGAAAAAAAACGAATGGTAACTGATCACTTAGTGTATTTATTCTTAATTACTTAATTAACATTGTTCTTTACGGGTTAATATGTGTATTATTATTATTATTATCAAAGAGAAGAGTTGCCTATTTCAACGAACTTTGAGATTGAATTAGATTTATTTCAATATTTAATCTCTTTTTAAAAAGGTTTCAAAGGTTACTATGGTGATACATTTGTTTATCTCTTTATCATAAACCTGTGATCCGTTTGATAAAAATTATTTTTCTTTTAAAAAAAAAGAACTTTAATGGAAATATTATACATTTTAAATCATGCCAAATTTGTTTGGATTAGATCGTTATAACAATTAATTGAGAGAATAAACATGACTATGATGTAAGGATATTGACTTTTTGTCTTGTATGGTGAATTTAGATATTTGGTCGCTGAAATAGTTGGGAAGAAATTGTACTTGAAAGGTTTTGTGCTAACTGATAATCAAAAGAAGAATGTGTTTATCATTTTTAGAGGAAAGAGGCTCGTTTGTGCTAGGTTTTCTATTGAGGTTTCCATTGGGGTTTCCTTGTCTGAGTTCGAATCCCATCCCTGTCGCTGAATTTACTAGGTTTGAAGCGATTACTAGTTCATATAGACTGCGAACAGAACAAAAATTGTTACCAAAGATCAATAAACTAGCTATTCTATTGCGTCCCAGCCCCGCTAATTAGAAAAAGAGGTGGAAGTGCGAACGGGAAAGTATATTCTGCAAGAAGCCAGAAGCACGAACGATAACAACAGACACTAATCAAAATGTATATATACTGCACAAAACCGTCCTTGGGAAGGGTTACAAAATGGCATACTAAAAAACACAACGGACAAATAACGTTTAAGATTCTCCCAAGTGGGAAATTCGACATGAAGGTGAATAAGGTGATTTTGGAGCGAAAACAAAGAAATTCAAATTTCCTTAATAAAATTACAAAATTAGGTCCTTTTCCGATTGAGTTCTGGGGATCTAATGTCCCCAACAGTTTGTAAGATTTGAATCCACATTTTAGGGCTCTAACAAGCATGAAATAAAGGTCGAGAAGGAGTAAATAATTATTGAAAATCTGAACAATTGTTTTATCCTGGAAAAGGACTAATCAATAGTGCGCATTCACAACCTCACAGTTGAGAACTGAACCAAACAATTCTAGTCTCAAGTTCAAATGCCTAATAACGTATAAGCCATCAACCTCCACAATCCCCATAATGATGAATTAAGTCTTAGCATATTTTTATTGCGCTACGCATCTCCCAGTATCTAATTTTATGAATTATCCGGCAATGTAGATTGTTCTAATTAAACAAAATAGGCTGCAAAATTCAAATCTAACTATACTATTTAAATTACTACTTTCAATCATGGTACTCACCAAGCATGAATGTATCTTTTAACTGTGGTGTTATCATACATGTGATTATAGGTAATAAGTCTTGCTTAATAGCCTGTAATCGAACAATGACAATAAATGACTGCTTTTTTTATGTTCCTTCAACGAGTTGAAGGCTTTAAAGATCTGTGTGACATAATTTTATCACTTACTACGATGAAATGTTTTGTAATAGAATATGAGTTACTAATAAGTAGTATACTTAGGGAACTTTAATACTAATCATGAATTAACTTGACATCTAGATATCATTTATATTGTTTCAAAATTCAAGTAATGAAGATTAGATTTAATAGAGAATGTGATTCAGTCGTTACAAATGATTTACACATAGAACACAAGTTAGTTGTAGCCGATAGAGAGAGCTTGAAAAAGACATAAAATACAGAGCTAGATAACGCTCAACAATAATTGAACACATTTGAATGATCGGCGAGACTATAATTTATGGACGAACCAGTCACGTATAAGATAACAGGTTTCGGATTTTCGATAAATGGAGTTTTGGCATTATAGCTGATGTCAGTTCGAAATGATAACCCGAAATCTAATTTCTAACCTTAGTCATGAACTGTAAATTGTAATTTCAATACCTCACACTAGTTTATAACCCTCATTTGGTCGTGTTTATTAGGTGGACACTCTCAAGGTCATTTTAGCGTTGCTTGAAGGTCGTCTATAAATTATAGCCTCACAGAATGATCTTATCTAGTTACAATTAAACAGCTACTAACCGACATCGCTCCTGTAGAGTAGTTTTATACCGAGATTCATCACTTGAATTATTATGATTAATAAAGATGAAGTTTGTACACTTGTAATTACTACTTATTCAAAGTGAACTAAGTTTATTATTTGTTATCTTCCTATGCAGAATTAATAGTGCAAATTTATAAACAAGGGATTGTCATATTTGAAAACATTATTCAGTACTACAGTCTAGATATAACTAGGCTTAACTTTTAATTCTTCAGTTATGAATAACCTTGAATAATATATCAGTAAGTTACCAGTTAGCAGTGCTACAGTATCAAAACACTTATGCAATCAAAAAAGCTCTACTACACAAGTTATAATTATCTGAACAATAATATGACAACGGATACTGGGAAATATGAAACGCATCAAATATAATTACCAAGCGTAACACAATCAGTAAATCTGTATTGTTTTACATGGCCTGACACACTAATCTGTGATTTCTTTTAACCTTCAATAACGTCAAACAGATTAGCGCATTGTAGTAGGCAATGAATAGGATATGTGTTGCACGAGTTAATAAAAGTCTATAGTTCCACTAATATATTTGGATTTTGAAAGTTGAATTGATGGTTTGATCCAAGCTGGACCACCATTGAAAACCTGGAAGCACTGGAGAGCCGTTTCGTTCTAATATGGGAATCCTCAGCATTGCGTACCGATGATCAAGCATAACTAGATTCGAACCCATGACCCATCAGTCTCACGCGTGAGCGCATAAACTCTAGGCCGTTGAGGAGGCATCCAATGTTGTTAATGCCTAACTTCAACCAATCCACGAAGTTACGAAATTCACTATGGTGTAAATGTTATTTGTCAAGGAAGATCCAAAGGCTTGATAAACTTTTCCCGATTTCAATTCGTATTCTTATTCTTATGCAACTATTTGTAATAATTAACTAGTTACGAGAATTCACCGTAATTTTAACTATGTTTCAAACGTTGTGTAACTAACTGATTATAATATAGTTCAATTGACTGATCATCACTTAATTGGTAGCAGTCAGTCAATAATAACGTAAAACTTCGTACGTACGTACATCAGTTCGAGTTGACATATCACATTAACACAGAGATGCAGTTATCGATTCAAATCCCATAGTGGTACAGGTAGTAAGACTACAAGCAGTGATCGGAAAAATTAGGGTTTGTAGATGTTATCCAAGCACTACAATACAGTGAAATAAATTTAGAAAGAAAATAAAAGGACATGAAGAATTCAGAAGATCAGAATTTGGGAGAACATAAAGAGTGATGCACCTGCGCCATTGCAAACGATTTTGAGCCATGTCATTCAAGGTCTCTAACTATCGATTTCTATCGTCTCGCTGATCACCACCAGGTAGTCTACACCTACCAACATGGCTCAGTTCACTTGTCAGTCACTTCATGAACTTGTGCCATATTTTGGTCTGGCCGCTCCTAGCTTTCTTCCAACCTACTCCTACACCAGAAAACATCGCACGTCGAGGCAGTCGGTGGTTGAACATACGTAACACGTGTCCCAAACATCTCAACTGATGACGTTTTGCTACTTCATCAATTGATTTACCATCCTTACCTAGTACCCGTTTCCTAACAACTGCGTTACTTACTCAATGGTCCCAGAATATACGAGCAATGTTTCGAAGATACCTACGATCGAATACTAATAACCTATGAATATCCTCTACCCTTACCGGCCATGTTTCACAGCTATAAAGTAGGACGGAAAGAACTGCTGCGCAGTAAACACGTCCTTTGGTTGGTAGACGGATATCTCGCTACGCCATAAATGAAGCAAGTTGGCAAAAGCTAGTCGAGCCTTCTGTTTCCGTGCTGAGATTTCGTCACACACCAGACCACGTGAGCTGATGAGACGTCTAAGGTAAGTGAAGTGGTCTACACGCTCAACTACTTCACTACAGATTATTAGTTCGGGTGTCGATGGAACCCAATCCTGAAACAACATTTTGCATTTCGAGGGAGAGAATCACATCCAGAACATGCCTGCATTTTTGCTTAGAGTGGTCAGAAGACTCTGCATTTTGTCAGCGTCTTCACTAAATAGAACTATGTCATCGGCATATTCTAAGTCAACAAGTGAATCTCCCGGTAAACGTTTAACCATATTTTACAAAGGTATTGTGTGAATTCACACTCGTGCACTGCACCTGAATCTCAGCGTTGATGTCTTAACTAAAACTAGAAATTAAAATGTATCATCTTAAATACTTTGAGTGAAGTTGAAAATGTTTACCGTTGAATGTCAACCAAGTGATATAACGAATAATGGCTGATCGCAAGACATGAAAGTCATAGGTTTGATTCATATAAAATTTTGGAGACATGTAGTGCTGTGGAGTCTCATATGAATACAACATAGTCATCCAATCCTCCTTGGTCTGAAATGGCATTCAGATGATGATCAGTCTGTAACGAATACTACCTACTGTTTAAATCACGAAATGCCTCAACATTAGTGCTTATACATTGTTAGCAAACTAATTAATTCTATAAGTTGTTAAACCTTCTTCTCTAGTCTGTGAATTGTATCAAAACACTTGGTATCATTCATATCCTCCTCCTAATTAATAGGTCGAACCAGTATTGTTTAAATTCATGTAATAAACATCTAACTAATGATAACATTGAATAGATCTGGGATAACTAACAATCAAGATGATAAAATTAATTTCATTATTAATATAGTATTCGTAATACTTACCAGAAAATGGTGTATATTATTATATACATAATAAACATCGGCTTTTCTCTGAAAGCTATCATATCTATCTAACAATTCCTGATAACCTGTTTTTGTTACTGTAATTCAAACATGAAAATATGAGTTAAAGAACAGTATCATGTATATAACGTTATCAAAAGACACATTTATAAATAATTTGTTAAAACATTCTGCTGAACCAAGAAAAATACCAGAATTTATCAGTTAATGCAGAATGTGGAAGTACGGGATAGCCGTTTCGTCCTGATATGGGACTCCTCATTAATGCGCATCCACAATTCCCCACTGTGAGATTCGAACACATGACCTATCAGTCTCGTGCACGAACGCTTAACCACTGTCAAACATCAACTAATCCACGAAATTGAGCGGCACATCCACCATTGTCTCCGATGAGTTACAATCTCACAACAGACCTGATTGAAATTCACTGGTCACTGCTTCTCACTAGAACTCCGGGAAACAACTCTTGAAGACAGTCACTGGTGAGTATATACTGATTAGTACCAGAAGGGGGTTTTGTGGATATTCTAGTAATTTTTAATAGTTGAGATTATGAGTTATTAAAGCTTAACCATCATGGGAAACGTGAAAGCACTAGATGGCCGTCTCGTCCTAGTATGTGACTCTTCAGCAGTGCGCATCCACGATCCCATCTCGCAAGATTCGAGCCCAGGACCAATCGAACTCGCACGTGGACTCAAGTTTGCAACAAAAATAATTCCAGAACATAAATTGATAACAAACGAACAACAATTCAATCATTACTGAGTAGTAGTTCATATCATGTTTATCTAGTTCTTTGGATCGAATTGAGTTCTGCACATTTTAATGTAACCACTAGTCTAAGTTCACATTGTGTTGCGAAATAAGATGGTTGAAGGTAATCAGATTTAGGTTTCACGTGAGTTTAGGCTCACTAACAGGAAAACCTTTTAATGTTGAGGTGACTGTTGACCTCATTAGGATTTGAATCCTGGTTAACCAAGTACAAATGCCTCAGTCTTATAAGAGGTCCATAGTGAGCTGAATATCTCAGTGTCAACTTATTAGACGGTGAAGCTGCATGATAAGAGTTCAGTTGACACAGATTCCACTAGCTTCCTCAATATTGCAGGTTGATCTCGCCAAGAAGTACCAACTAGCACGAAACTTAGGTTGAACAACATTTCCTCCAAGCTATCTCAGACCACTTAGTAAAAGATAAGGAAATTAATATGCGACAGTGTATTCAACAAAAACAATAATATAAAAATACACATGAATATATACTTGTTTCATTATTTAACATATTCAAGCATAAAACAGATAATTTCCAATAATAAAAACCAGCATCATCAAAACGTGATTCTTTAGCAGCGCATGTAGCTAATTGTTCAAGTACTGAAATAGCCTCATTTTGTAAACCAGCTTTGATAAATGCTATTTTATTAATGTAAACAAAAGAATTAGCATTACCTGATGAGAATGTAATTAAGTAATATGGGTAAATAAACGTTTTAACAGAGAATTAGTTTATCAATATGTTATGTCTTGTGATTGGTTCTATTAGGCCTATAGTGTTTTCTAATGACTGACGGTAGAGAGTCTATTAATATGAATGGAAACTAGTGTAAACTGTATAATACGGCATCTGACAAATTTACTAAAATTGTGATTTATGAACGAACAAGAGATTTTGTGAAATATAACACACTTAAATGCTAAAATCTGAATAGAGGAATTTCCAATCCTCATTTAGTTCATTTTTTAGTTGGCTCATAGGCTGAATTTTTCTAAACACAGTCGGTAGGTTCCGTTTGTTTTAAGCAAGTTAGTCTAATTACTATAAGTTTATTTACAGAAATATAATTGACTTATATCGTTTTACTACTCATTATTATATTTGTTTTCTAGACAAGCTTTCTAAGCTTTTAGTCTTAAGAATTTCGTATTTAATTGAAGTCCTAACTACATAAGTAAAACGAAATAAAATGTACGTCATCTTAATCCATAGAGGTTTTAACTAAGTTCTACTCAGGATTCACCACATATACATACTTATATGGCGTGCACTACTTATGTGGACAGACATAAGTAGTGTGCAGCAGGAATTGGAAACAGAATGCTTACTAGTAGAAGCATGAAATAAAGAGAAGAGGAAGGAAACCGAAGAGCAATTGATGATGGAGCATGTAAAGAACAACTCAAGGAAGATATGCAAACGATATACTTAATGTATGATTGCCATATTTTACAGTCAGTAACAAAGTGGAACTTCGTATGTACGTACATCAGTTCGAGTTGACATATCACATTAACACAGAGATGCAGTTATCGATTCAAATCCCATAGTGGTACAGGTAGTAAGACTACAAGCAGTGATCGGAAAAATTAGGGTTTGTAGATGTTATCCAAGCACTACAATACAGTGAAATAAATTTAGAAAGAAAATAAAGGACATGAAGAATTCAGAAGATCAGAATTTGGGAGAACATAAAGAGTGATGCACCTGCGCCATTGCAAACGATTTTGAGCCATGTCATTCAAGGTCTCTAACTATCGATTTCTATCGTCTCGCTGATCACCACCAGGTAGTCTACACCTACCAACATGGCTCAGTTCACTTGTCAGTCACTTCATGAACTTGTGCCATGTTTTGGTCTGGCCGCTCCTAGCTTTCTTCCCACCTACTCCTACACCAGAAAACATCGCACTTCAAGGCAGTCAGTGGTTGAGCATACGTAACACGTGTCCCAAGCATCTCAACTGATAACGTTTCACTACTTCAATTGATTTGCCATCCTTACCTATTACCCGTTTCCTAACAACTGCATTACTTACTCGATGGTCCCAGGATATACGAGTAATGCTTCGAAGACAGCTACGATCGAATACTAGTAACCTACCAATATCCTCTACTCTTACCGGTCATGTTTCACAGCTATAAAGTAGGATGGAACGAACTGCCGCACACTAAACACGTCCTTCGGTTGACAGACGGATATCTCGCCTACGACATAAATAACGCAAGTTGGCAAGGCTAGTCGAACCTTCTGTATCCGTGCTGAGATTTCGTCACACACCAGACCACAAGGGCTGATGAGAATTCCAAGATAAGTGAAATGTTCGACACTCTCAACTCGGTTGTAAATCATATTATATATAAATTTACAATGTTACAAAACACAGTTCACCGTTTCCACATTAGATGATACTGTTACTAAATAAACCATCTATAACATGTTCAAATAAACTATTATCCGACTACAACTCCTTAAATTCAACTCATTGAGAAGAAGAAAAATTCGAAAGTATTTTTCATATTTATTTAGTAAAACAAATTTTGTATGCAGTAATTGTACAATATTGAATATTTATATGCTTCAAAGTTTAATGTTTACTTTAATTCAACACATTGTCGGTGTTTTTTACTGATGTGTTTAAGTGTGCTTGTATGTGCATATTGGAGGGAGATATTGCTGTTTATTCTTTCATTGTATGACAATATGGACAATGACCCTGTTGTAATGAGACCAATTCGTAATCGTCAGTGTAAAATAGCTAGAGAATACAGAAAATAAACAACACAGATAAACAGGATAATATTCTCCTTGGACAAAGTAAAAATAATAAGATAGTAGATTACAAATAGAGGTTCTTAGGTAATTTAATGAAGTACACTCAGTCATTAAGTTCACATCCGGAGAAAATGAAGGTAGAATGGTCTTTCTGGACGTTCTTTTAATCACAAGAGCTGATGGATTAATACGGAATTTAAACAGATAAAAACTATCTGAGCAAGGCAGTAAACACATTTCCTTAGCTTTATTCTTTTACAGTACAAAAGAAACCTGTTCACAACTAGTAGTTATCGAATACATATTGTATATTGTACGGTTATAGTTAAAGAGCTAAACACTTGGCGTAATAAACTTAGAGTGAATGGATACCTTGAAAAGTTTAAAAACATATATATGACCATGAGGGTTAGTATAGTTCAAATGAAATAGTGAATAATAAATCCCTATTTATGCGCCTACAATTCAGAGAGGATGCAGCTAGCGAAATATTAACCCAGAAATCATTCAACGATAGAAAACTACTGGTGTTTTTTACTCGCCAATGGCGACACCGAGCCTAAATGATAAATTACCTAGAATAACTACCTTGTTTTATGTTTATCAGTTAGACTGCTCTTGTGGAGGAAGTTATGCTGGTCGAAGTTACAAGAATTCACATTTTCGTGCTCGTGAACACCTCACAACGTGGCTAAGCAAAAGTCTAGTGAAGAAAGTGAACTGGCTATACTACCAGTATAAGTCAATCCTTTTCAATTATTTATCGGGTCAGTAAATTTTTGCCAAAGCCTGTCAGATTCAAAGTTCTTCAAACAGCGGAAGCAGTAGTCATCTGAATTAGGAAAATGGAGTTAAATGTACACAAGAAATATCTTCAACCGCTTCTCCTCCCTTGGTCAACCTCAGAGCAAATTAATCAATCATAATCTAAGATATTGAGTGACCTGATTCGATCAATAGACATAACCTTTTTTAGTCAAATATAATTGGAAGCATTGGACGGCCGTTTCGTTCTATTGTGCGACTCCTCGACAGTGAGCATCCACAATCCCTCCTCGCGAAATTCGAACCCAGTGTCTATCAGTCCCGCTAACGAACGCGAATCTCGCGGGGAGAGATCATGGGTGCGCACTGTTGAGGAGTCCCACAATAGGACGAAATGGTCGTCCAGTGCAACCAGTTTTTCAATGGTGGTTTAACACCAATCAGTTCATGATCCCAATCAAAAACCTAAAAATTTCGACAATCCTATACTGATAATTGTTTTTGTCATCTCTATTTAAATATCTTTGTATTATTATTATTATTATTATTATTATTATTATTATTATTATTATTATTATTATTATTGATTTAACATTATTATTAGTCTCCCGAATACATGATTCATTTACTTTGCATTCATCCCATTAAACATTTGATCGAATCTGTAGTTACACTATTATCTCTCTCAACCCCATGTTAACCATATTTATTCTGCTAATGAATTTCATAATTTCTTTTAATATATAAACTGATTTAAGTTAACATTGTCTATATTACAAACAATGCTAAATTCACATGCTATAACAATATAAACGATTCACTTTGCCATAAACCTGTCCGTTTTTCGGATTATTAATTTAGATAGATTTTAGTGGCCTGTTATTTTGACACCAATTAGATCAGACGGTGTTGCCGATGAGCTCACCATTTTAGTGGCCCTTAATCTGACTCCTGGTTGATCGTTTAAATGATTTTTATTGAAATATTCATGTCGGCTATCCTCGTATGTAAATATCAACTTAATCCGCGTTAGTGAAATTCGCGTCAAACTCTTAACGTGGTTTAATATCATATATTGTGTTCTTCCATTCATTTCAACTTTCACTTCTGTTTCAAAAATCCATACTAACTCCTTTGATTAAGGCACTTCGTGGCATTCATTTACGCTCGTAAACCCACGGAAAGACCATAGTAGATTTTAAAATACCTATACGGTTTGTATACATCACCCTACAATTCATAAGTGGATCATATAATTTTGTAATGAAACGAAGAATTAAGTCTGTTACCAGTAGAACATACCATCCAATCAAGGTTATCGGGCAGAAACCTAAACAACATACAAACGGTTACATCACATCCTACTGTGTTACTAAATTTTATTTATGTCTATGTGAACTAACGTGTATCGGGAAGAGTATAATTGTTTTATTAGTAAGAGTGAACGAACATAAACCAAAATGAAGGCAAAAACAAATCAAGTTGACTGAACACTGAGTAATGATATATCAGTCTTACGAAAGGTTAGTTTTGGGCTAAATGGCTCAGTGTTAACGTCTCAGACTGTGAAGCTGGGTAACGTGTCTATGTATCTTACTGTGAATGTCAGTTACTACAAAGTTACAGGCACGCCTAGTTGATGGGTATTAACTAGCAAGGAACCGGAATTGACGGTTTCTAGTTTAATACCTCTAGTCACCTAATGTTACTTTTATACCCTGTATGCGGTTATGGCTAGAATTTTCAAATGATAGTCCAACTGAGATCAATCCATGATCTAACAATATCTCTGTAGATTAAAATGTGGATGCTGAACAGTTGATAGCAGGATCAATACTAAGCGCATGACGATGAGTTAGGTCAAAAGTGTACATGAAAATAATAATGAATACTTTAGAAAACAGTTCAGAAATAAAACAAAATAGAGTAATTCTGACGTTTAAAAGTATTATTATATCAATCAACTGAAATAGGTTACTATCAAAATTGAGTTTCTTAAAATAGTAACTAGTGAAAAGCATTCACTGTAACCGTCCAATCATTACCTTGTTGAACTTGTTACATCAACCAAGTAGTTGAATATGTCCGTCATTGAATTTCGGTATAAAATCTTTGATGTCATCTGTTACAAGATTGTAATATATTGGATTCCTAAAGTGTCCACTAATGATGAATCCCATATAATGTTGAAACAATTATCCAATACTTACTAGTTTTCCTACTTCATACTGGAGAATTACTTCAAATTTCCCTGAGAAACGTTTCAGCAAAAACTGGATCCATATGATAATGATTTGTTTTCATTTTCAAATTATAATATAATACGATTTTAAGATATTTTACTTGACGGACTGACTTCATAGTTAAAAATGCACTGAAAACAAGGGTGAACTGAGCAATCGCTTCATCCCAATATAAGACTTCGTAACAATACATACTTATAACTGAAGTTAAGAATTTGAACCATTTTGGATTCTAACTCAGTAACTTAGATTTACTGTGCTTACAGAGTGACATGTAAAGCTTAAATTCGATACCATGAGACTGATGACAGTATATTACTGAAGTTTCATTGTCAGTCAAACTACATGCTTACGGTTTTCAGTGGATGCCTAAATGCAATCAGTTCATAATTAAACTTCCAAATTTTAAAATTATATAGCTTCTGTGAAAATCTTATTAATAATGTGACATAAATTATTCTCACCTTGTGACATACGGTACATTGTGTAATACTAACATCAGGTAAGACAGATTTGTAATAACGTGGTTTTAATGGGGGATTATTGACAATTATCACTTCATTAAAAGAAATTGCTTTTAATGTAGCGATATCTAATTGGACAGGAGAATATGATTCAGAGATAAGCTGAAGAAAACGAATACAGTAATCATTATAGTTATAGCACAGCATACTATATACAAAATGACAATAATACTCTATATTAAATAAGTTAGAAAGATAATAGTGAATTTATTGTACTGTTTAGAGAAGTTTAAAAAGTGTACAGAAGCCATGATAATCCTGATAGCATTTCGATCAGTCAGCATTCTTTAGAGACTAACAGGAAATACATAGAAAGCGACTAACCATTGCCAATTTTGGCATGGTTTCCAGAAGATTCTGGGAAATAAGGGTGACGTATAGTCTTATAAATACCCTCGTTTTATGTAACTAAAACAACCTCGGGAGTAAAATCCTCTCCGTTTGTATGGTGTTTGGAGAACAAGAGGAAATGACCTATTTAGACTAAGAAGCTATTAGGAAGTTGGTCTCTAACCTTTCAAATACAAGATGACACATGCACAATATCAAAACTTCATCTCCAAAACTGTTTTATTCAAATTTCTTTGTTAAATGGATAAAATTTGGTTTCAGATTTCAAACGCTACCTAGACTAAGTCAATGCTACATAAAAGACTAGTGAACAACCTTATGAAATCAAACGATTTGTAAATCTCCTACTTTTAACATACACAGTAAGAATTGTGATACGAGGGCACAATGATCAGTACAAATTATAATTTTATTAGTTAAACTTACACATTTTTCATAATGCTACTAAAAAGTCAATTGAAACTTTAGGGTTATACAAAATAATGAACCCATTTCGAATATCATGTAGTGTAAAAGTAAGTTTGAAAGAAATAAGCAGCGAAACCATAATGGAATTGGAGTTTACTAATAACGTATTGATAGAAATAGGCTACCCGAGAAGTTTTTTGAAAAGTACATGTGTGAAGGAAAAAATGCGTTGCAGATATTGACCGCTTGTAAGAAATCTCTATTCCTAAAAGGACAACACAAGGGAGATGTGGCCAACGATTCCCTACATGATAGACTAGTAAGGGTAGTTAATAAGACATTCTATGCAGCTAATCTTGCATTGAAATTTTCCAGCAGGTCATTGATATCCAAAGAAAGGATAAGTTACCTAGGTCGGCTTCCTCGATGTGTATCTACAAATTCAACTACTGTTATGGAGATAGCTATATTGGATGTATTGCCATGGAACTTAACTAACAACGGATGAGTGAAAATCTCCCGTTGGTTCGGGTCAAACAAAGACAATTCATAACTCTATCTTGGAAAAACTAGTCGATGGTGATCATATTTTAGATAAAACCAAATCATTTCGAGTGATCTAGCATGTATCTTCATCGTCTCCCAACGCAGTTCAATCCCATCTACCAGATATGGCAGAATATGTAGTGATCCGAATATTTAATCCTAGTTTATGTGTTTAGAAGGAATCTGTGACACCCTTGTCCATTCTTTGGCCAATTTTTCACCTTCTGTATAAGTGGTGAATAGATAAATATATAGCTAATTCAAGTGTCAATTTTGGAGGTGTAAACTTCCTACAGGAGATATTTAGAATTAACAGCTACGGAATGATAGACTGCATCTTTCATTTCATTTCACTTACAACAAAAGTGATATTATCCTAGGTACTATTTAGTAACCATTTGATTATTCTCTTACCAGTTTTACTCAATCTAATATCTTTCTGTTCATGAAAATTTTTGACTGAAATGAGGGCGGTAAGAATGAGTGTATACATTGTCTTAAAACTGTCTACATTTTTATATCTTTAGTTTTTCTCTAAATATATATTTTATAGTTGAATTCATGAGTCAATTGAAGCCAGACCAACATAGAAAACTTGGAAGCACTAGGCGGCAGTTTTGTCTTGGTATGGGACTTCTCAACAGTGTGCTTCCACGATCCCGTCCCGCGAGATTCGAATCCAGAACCTATCAGTCTCTGTACTGCTGAGGAGTCCTATATAAGGACGAAACAGCCGTACAGCGCTTCCATATTTTCCAAGGTTTTTTAGCTTCGATTGACTCATGAATTCAACTACAAAATTACTAAAATCTCCATAAAGCCCATAATGTGAACGGAGAAACAAGAAGTCCTGACAAACTACGGAAACTATTTTTTGGGACGTTATTTCATGTAATTCAAAGCTTGTAAAACAGTAACATTTATTTTTGCCCTAGTCAATTCTACAGATCATAAGTTTTTGTTTGATGTGTGAAATAACCTTTTTTGTTCCAAAGTTATTGTAATTTAAACGTAACATTTTGTACTCTATTTTCTATGCTAATCTCCAGTTCCGGACATAATTGTATTTTCCTAATTGTTGTGCTTTGTGGTCTGGTTAGTTATCTATTTATCCATGTATCTTTTTACACAAATCTGAAAATCGGGAACCAGGTCGAAATTGGGAATAAATGGAGTAGTGTTCCAGTTAGCTTGTCTTCTCTCAATCGCGTGCTTGTCAGCCAATCAGATGGTAGAATAGCTTTTGTCTCTCTAACCCAAACAGTTGCTTTCACCTCGAACACACGCATACTAACCTTAAGGTTAAGCCAGTCAGCCTATCGCTTCAAGGTCTTAATCTAGATTAGACAAGTTATCCTGTGCACAAAAGTGGGTAGACAAATCAAGGATGTAAAAGACCCCTTCAGAGAAAATATAATTACCATGGCATCTACTCCTATGATAAAAAGCTATATCAGGTGTACTAGGGGATGACTTAATCCACTAATTAGCTAGAATAACTGTTTCCAGTTTAGAAAGGGAAAGTTAAACGTGATAGAGAATCAGTGTTAATATGTCTATTAATTCAGATAAATCAATTTTTCTTCTATGATATCAAGTCATAACTTGGTTTATAATGGACGGGTTAGAAATTTATACAAAAGCAACAAATATATAATAGATAGAACTTACATCTGAATTTAATAATTTAGCCATGAATGGATCTTGATCTAGTGATCCATTTTCTTGTTTATGGGATATTTTCAATGTTTGTGAAACTGAAAATGTTAAACAAAATTGAAAACTTAACGTATATATCAAAGTAGTTAATACGGTTATATTCACTTGGTATATTTTTGCTTGAATTTTAATGAATTTTCAAGTTCTATGTTGTTGCTGACAGATTGACTGGCTTCTACCAATCAAGTGGTGATCAGTCAATTGAACTATATTATAATCAGTTAGTTACACAACGTTTGAAACATAATTAAAATTAGGGTGAATTCTCGTAACTAGTTAATTATTACAAATAGTTGCATAAGAATAAGAATATGAGTTGAAATCGGGAAAAGTTTATCAAGCCTTTGAATCTTTCTTGACAAATAACATTTACACCATAGTGAATTTCGTAACTTCATGGATTGGTTGAAGTTGGGCATTAACAACATTGGATGCCTCCTCAACGGCCTAGAGTTTATGCGCTCACGCGTGAGACTGATGGGTCATGGGTTCGAATCTAGTTATGCTTGATCATCGGTACGCAATGCTGAGGATTCCCATACTAGGATGAAACGGCTCTCTAGTGCTTCCAGGTTTTCAATGGTGGTCAAGCTTGGATCAAACCATCAATTCAACTTTCAAAATCCAAATAGATTTGTGAAACTATGGACTTCTTTTAACTCGTGCAACACATATCCTATTCATTGCCTACTACAATGCGCTAATCTGTTTAACGCTATTGAAGGTTAAAAGAAATCACAAATTAATGTGTCAGGCCATGTAAAACAATACAGATTTACTGATTGTGTTACGCTTGGTAATTATATTTGATGCGTTTCATATTTCCCAGTATCCGTTGTCATATTATTGTTCAGATAACTATAACTTTTCATCGAATTAGCGTCCACGGATCTCCGAATCGATATTGGCCCACCAACAATTGAAGAGATCAGCATGACGATCAGATAAATCGATGGCTGCAAAGCAGCTGGACAAGACAACATTCCAGCAGTGGCACTGAAAGCAGATGTATCAGTAACTGCAAAGATACTCCACATTCTCTTCAGCAAGATTTGGGATGAAGAACAATTACCAACAGATTGGAAAGAAGGACACCTCACCAAGATACCAAAGAAAGACGATCTCAGCAAGTATGATAACTACAGAAGCATCACTCTTCTCTCAATACCAGGAAAATTCCTCAACAGGGTGTTGTTAAACAGAATGAAGGACTCCGTAGACTCCCAACTTCGAGACCAACAGGCTGGATTCCGTAAGGATCGATAGTGTACAGACCAAATCGTAACACTACAGACCATTGTGGAACAATCAATTGAATGGAATTCATCACTCTACATCAACTTCATTGACTACGAGAAAGCATTTGATAGCGTGGACAGGACAACATTATGGAAGCTTCTTCAACACTAAGGCGTACCTGAGAAGATAGTCAATATCATACAAAATCCATATGATGGATTAAACTGCAAAATCGTGCATGGAGGACAGTTGACAAACTCGTTCGAAGTAAAGACCAGTGTCAGGCAAGGTTGCTTACTCTCATCCTTTCTCTTTCTCCTGGTGATCGACTGGATCATGAAGATGTCAACATCTGAAGGAAAACACGGGATACAGTGGACAGATAGGATGCAGTTGGACGATCTACACTTCGCAGATGATCTGGGCCTTCTATAGCACACGCAACAACAAATGCAGGAGCAAACGACCAGTGTAGCAGTAGCCTCAGCAGCAGTAGGTGCTCAATATACACAAAGGGAAAAGCAGGATTCTCCGATACAACACAGCACGCAACAATCGAACCACACTTGACGAAGAAGATTTGGAAGATTTAAAAATCCTTACATATCTGGGCAGCATCATTGATGAACAGGGTGGATTTGATGCAGATGTGAAGGCACGGATCGGTAAAGCAAGAGCAGCATATTTACAACTGAAGAACATCTGGAACTCAAAACAACTGTCAACCAACACCAAGATCAGGATTTTCAATACAAATGTCAAGACAGTTCTACTATATGGGGCAGAAACCTGGAGAACTACGAAAGCCATCATCCAGAAAATACAAGTGTTTATTAACAGTTGTCTACGCAAAATACTTCAAATCCGTTGGCCGGACACTATTAGCAACAACGTACTGTGGGAGAGAACAAACAAGATCTCAGTGGAGGAAGAAATCAGGAAGAAGCGCTGGAAGTGGATAGGACACACATTGAGGAAAGCATCCAACTGCGTCACAAGACAAGCTCTCACATGGAATCCTGAAGGTCAAAGGAAAAGAGGAAGACCAATGAATACTACGCCGACATATGGAGATAGACATAAGAAGAATGAACATCAGTTGGATGGAACTAGAAAAGAAGGCCCAGGACAGAGTGGGTTGGAGAATGCTGGTCTGCGGCCTATGCTCCATTAGGAGTAACAGACATAAATAAGATTGTGAATGCGAACTCCTGATGAGTTCCAAATTAAAACGAAACAACTGTTCGTTTCTTTTTTATAATTGATAATTATCTACCTTAAAGTTATTTCATAAACAAAACAGATTTTATAACTTTGTGTTTAATACAAAAAAACCATGACTATAATCTATTCAACTTACAATCATTGTTTAATTCAACATTATTTATATCTTCATCTTTCGAATTCCTGTAAGATGATGGTTCTTTTTGTAAATAACTTCTTACTTCTTCATATGATAAATTATCTTCTGGAATGAATTCAACTATTGGCAATTGTTCTGTTTTAAAAATAAATAAAAAATAATTTCTGTATAAAACATATGAACATTATTCATTTATCTCTGTTAGTTATTCCTAATTTTTCATGAGGAGTGACTTAAACAAATGAAAACACTGAATTATTGGTCCTGTAATAGTTTAAAGATTTTTAAGACAAATATAATCTTCTTGATTGAGATCATGAATCGATTGGCGTAAGACCACTGTTGCAAACCTGGAAGCACTGGACGGCCATCTCGTCCTATTGTGGGACTCCTCATCAGTGCGCATCCACGATCCTGCTCGCAGGATTCGAACCCAGGGCCTCCAGTCTGGCGCGCAGACGTCTAACAACCTTGACCATTGAGCCGGCATCAGGTGGTGTTAGTGTTTAACATCAACCAATCCACGAAATTGTGCGACCATCTTCCATTATGCTGAGGTAGATACCTGTCTCTACCCGATACGGATTAGCTCCACTGGTCAGAATATTAATTGATTTCAGGAGATTGAAAGAAAATTGTGAACCTAAGTTACGAGCTAGTTGTCTTTCTTCAATAGCCTAACATAGATCTTTATAGTACTTAGAGTTGGTGGAATTCTGTAAATCATGATCCTGTATGACTTATAGTTTTATGATGATAGGTACTTGTAAACAAATGTCAAGAAATCATGGAACTAGGTTTCATACTACTTGGTTCTTGTCAAATAATAATATCTTTAACCAACTTACATGGAAATAGAGTACACCAGATATTGAGTCACTAAGATTAATGATCACATGACAACTTGGTTGATAAAATTTGGTCAATAATGAGGACTAAACAAATATGAAATTGATTACAACTCGGTGATCAATAACTTAGGTTATCTTATTTCTACAGTACTCGTGGACCGACTGTAACAGTGAATGTTTAGTCTCATAGGGAAGTATCAGCTACGTATTGAAGAAGTTTCAATTACCATGAAATCTCAATCCACCGTATCTTGTTGATTGTCTTCAACTACATAATATCGTTTAAATTAAATGTATAAACAGTGTATAAAATTATTTTCTTTGATAAAAAAGTGTTAAGTTGTGATGGCTGGTGCTTGCCCCCATAGGCTATTCTAACCTCCTGATAGATGAATCTATTCATTTTTCTCAAGCCACATTTCGAACTTGTCACTTATTCGCTAATAAACCCTGACTTTTTATATGATCGTATGTGTATTAATTGCTTGTCCTATTCATTATGTGTCTGTAATTTGTTGTCTGAATATAAATGTTGAGTCACTCTTGATCAAAACAAATTGGTTCACTCTCCTTTTCCATAGCGCGTCATTTCGTTTCACTTCGTTCTCTCCTCTTCACTTTCTTCAATTCGTTTCTCTGATCGTCTATTTAGATTAACGACTGTATGACATATACGTATTCGAAATCCATTCTCTTATTTTGACCTATTTAATTCTGTTATTTACCATGGCGATTATATATGTGGGTAGCCAAGATGTATATTTCGATAGCAGTCAATCATACAATATGACTAGAGTCAGATATAGGACCACACTAACAATTTGATCTATCAGTTGTTAATCAACATTAACTTCTCTACCTATATACTTCACTAACGTAATCTATCTACAATTGAAATCAAATTATTAATCATATACACTTACCTAGATTGATAAAAGAATAAAGAAATGGTTCTTTACAGTTGATACATCGATTGCCCAAACTATTCAATAATGGATTTGTTGCTGAACATCTATAACACATAGTACTAATCTCCTAGTAAGAATGAAGTAATAATGATGAAAAGAAACTGTCAAAAGTAAGTAACTTGAAATCTATCGGATTACTCAATATAGAGATTTCTTATCGTTCATTCATTTAATTATAGTTAATTTGTGAGGTGAGCTGAGGATTTTCAGATACGCTCCCATATATCGTGATGAGTTCATCCTATTATGAAGCCTAAAACTAGTATAATATACAACTATTTGCATTGATTATCGTTATCTACCTTATTTTAGCTGCTTCTATCCTTCTATCCAACGATACTGCACGCGGAATTCGAACTTAGTGGCAAACTGAATAGTTATGCAAACATATATGTCCATGCCAAGCATGGAAAAAGCCAAGTTTTAATCCAACAGGAAAATACAGTGGTCAGGTCAAATTATAAACTAAGTACAATAGACTCACGTAAGTGTAAATATGAGCGAATCAGTATCCTCATTTTTATGCAAAGCTATAATAAGGATAAAATCTAGAACATAATTGAGACCTCTACTCTAAACAATACCATGTTAGTTAACCTTTCTATCATATTACTCACATTTATTCATGGATATTGTATAACATTCCCACAACTGTAAATAATACTTTCACACAATATGATTCATTTACGTTACTTATAAGTAACTAGGATTTTACTGCATAAATTTTCCAAGTCAAATTTTCGTAATTTCTCAAGAGCTAGTCCTAAGTTGATTGGTTAGTTTACATTAACCTGTTTATCCCTCTTCATTGTTTATATCCAACAGTGTGCATTTTCTGTTAATTTATACAATTGTCTTCATCAAATAAAGTGTAATACGAGTAGGAATATCTCTTATAGTAACGAAGAACAAGTGACTACTTATGATACCTAAGAAATGTATTCAGAATTGAATTAGGGCAGTTACTATGGGAATGAAAGCTTACAAAATTGAGGCCTATGTCCCAAATTACATTGTAAATCCCAATTCAAAATAACCTAAACGTCTATTACTTAGCAATCACAAACTTGATATGTACATTTTTGAAAATATCAACTTACTTCAGAATCAATCATTGGTCCAGAATTCAAGGTAATGCTAGATAAATCTACTTCATCACGCATCTTAGATGGCAAATGCATTGTTTGTAATCTATCATATATTTGTTTGGTCAATTTGTATGCACCTAGAGCACGGCCATGTTTTGCTAAAGTATACAAAACTGCACTAAAATGTTTATACAAGTTAAGGTATTATTCAAAGGTTGGTAACAAAAAGCAAAGTAAACCGTTATATATATATTAACACGAATATTTTGCTCCATTCTGCAATATAACCATTGTATAGGATATTGATATTTTGAGAAATGGAATCAGCAAAATTTGAACAGTTACGCATGGTGATTAGAATCGTTTGAAATGGTATGACTTAATAACTAATTTGGACTGTAAATAAGAAATGGTTTTATATTCATTGCTTTAATCGTCATCTTTAGAATGACACTATTTCCAGCGTGTTTTTGACTAATTCAAGTAAGAATTATGTTTTCAGTATGGGGTTGTGTTGATTGTTAGGTTTTTGATTGAGATCATGAATTGATCGATGTTGAACCACCATTGAAAACCTCGATGCACTGGATGGCCGTTTCGTCCATGTATCTGACTCATCAGCAGCGAGCATCCACGATCCTGTACACCGTGAACAGTGGAGCTAATACACGTCAGATAGAGACAAATATCTACCTCAGATAACGGAAGATGGCTGCACAATTTCGTGGATTGATTGGAGTTAGACATCAAGACCGTTGGATGCCGACACAGTGATCTTGAGGTTTAAAGCTAAAGTACGAGACCAAAAGTCGTGGGTTCGAGTCGCGCGTGCGGGATCGTTGATGTCCACTGCTGAGAAGTCCTATACTAGAACGAAGCGGCCATCCAGTGCTTCCAGGTTTTCCATGGTATTCTAACATCAATCGGTTTATGATCTCAATCAATAACAAACAACTCTATAGGATATTACATAAACTCCATATATTAACATATTGAATTCATCAAAAAGGATATAGAACAAAAACAAAATAGATTATTGAAGAAAAAATCAAAAAAAGAATACGCTTTTGAAACTTCCGGTATATCACCAAACTGTAAGATATGTATTAAATAACGCGCCATATTGAAGTAGGTTTCAGGCATATATGAAGCAAATGGTTCATGCTAATAAAAAAGAAAGAATAGAATTTAACAAAGTCAATTCATTTTATTATTGTAATGGCTGAGAATAAGTGATCCTTGAAAACCTTAATATGTGTAATTGTATAGGATTGGCACTATTTAGAAAACTCATACCAGTTAAAAACAACTTCACAGAGTTAATTAGTTTCTAAAATACTTTTACATCTCTTGTTAGTTCATAACGTCATATTCATATATCATTGAGTAGTAGGGATCGAAGTCACATTTGTCTAGTCGTTAGTGATGATCGAATCCTATCAGTCGAAATATAATATGGCCACTAGTCTATGTCTATGGTCTATAAGTTAGACATTCACGTTCAAAACTGAAGGATTTGGATTCGATTCTCAGTTACGTGGTTGTGGATGAGCCATTGCTGACAAATTTCATACTAAAACGAAACAGCAGTTCAGAGCCTACAGATTTTCGATGCTGGTCTAGGTCTACCTAAGATCAGTTCGTGATTTTAACGATGATGTATACGAATCCAATTGAAATCTAATTGATTTGTATTGTTTTTTAGTTGGCTCATAGGCTGAATTTTTCTAAACACAGTCGGTAGGTTCCGTTTGTTTTAAGCAAGTTAGTCTAATTACTATAAGTTTATTTACAGAAATATAATTGACTTATATCGTTTTACTACTCATTATTATATTTGTTTTCTAGACAAGCTTTCTAAGCTTTTAGTCTTAAGAATTTCGTATTTAATTGAAGTCCTAACTACATAAGTAAAACGAAATAAAATGTACGTCATCTTAATCCATAGAGGTTTTAACTAAGTTCTACTCAGGATTCACCACATATACGTACTTATATGGCGTGCACTACTTATGTGGACAGACATAAGTAGTGTGCAGCAGGAATTGGAAACAGAATGCTTACTAGTAGAAGCATGAAATAAAGAGAAGAGGAAGGAAACCGAAGAGCAATTGATGATGGAGCATGTAAAGAACAACTCAAGGAAGATATGCAAACGATATACTTAATGTATGATTGCCATATTTTACAGTCAGTAACAAAGTGGAACTTCGTATGTACGTACATCAGTTCGAGTTGACATATCACATTAACACAGAGATGCAGTTATCGATTCAAATCCCATAGTGGTACAGGTAGTAAGACTACAAGCAGTGATCGGAAAAATTAGGGTTTGTAGATGTTATCCAAGCACTACAATACAGTGAAATAAATTTAGAAAGAAAATAAAGGACATGAAGAATTCAGAAGATTAGAATTAGGGAGAACATAAAGAGTCATGCACCTGCGCCATTGCAAACGATTTTGAGCCATGTCATTCAAGGTCTCTAACTATCGATTTCTATCGTCTCGCTGATCACCACCAGGTAGTCTACACCTACCAACATGGCTCAGTTCACTTGTCAGTCACTTCATGAACTTGTGCCATATTTTGGTCTGGCCGCTCCTAGCTTTCTTCCAACCTACTCCTACACCAGAAAACATCGCACGTCGAGGCAGTCGGTGGTTGAACATACGTAACACGTGTCCCAAACATCTCAACTGATGACGTTTTGCTACTTCATCAATTGATTTACCATCCTTACCTAGTACCCGTTTCCTAACAACTGCGTTACTTACTCGATGGTCCCAGGATATACGAGTAATGCTTCGAAGACAGCTACGATCGAATACTAGTAACCTACCAATATCCTCTACTCTTACCGGTCATGTTTCACAGCTATAAAGTAGGATGGAACGAACTGCCGCACACTAAACACGTCCTTTGGTTGATAGACGGATATCTCGCCTACGCCATAAATGAAGCAAGTTGGCAAAAGCTAGTCGAGCCTTCTGTTTCCGTGCTGAGATTTCGTCACACACCAGACCACGTGAGCTGATGAGACGTCTAAGGTAAGTGAAGTGGTCTACACGCTCAACTACTTCACTACCGATTATTAGTTCGGGTGTCGATGGAACCCAATCCTGAAACAACATTTTGCATTTCGAGGGAGAGAATCACATCCAGAACATGCCTGCATTTTTGCTTAGAGTGGTCAGAAGACTCTGCATTTTGTCAGCGTCTTCACTAAATAGAACTATGTCATCGGCATATTCTAAGTCAACAAGTGAATCTCCCGGTAAACGTTTAACCATATTTTACAAAGGTATTGTGTGAATTCACACTCGTGCACTGCACCTGAATCTCAGCGTTGATGTCTTAACTAAAACTAGAAATTAAAATGTATCATCTTAAATACTTTGAGTGAAGTTGAAAATGTTTACCGTTGAATGTCAACCAAGTGATATAACGAATAATGGCTGATCGCAAGACATGAAAGTCATAGGTTTGATTCATATAAAATTTTGGAGACATGTAGTGCTGTGGAGTCTCATATGAATACAACATAGTCATCCAATCCTCCTTGGTCTGAAATGGCATTCAGATGATGATCAGTCTGTAACGAATACTACCTACTGTTTAAATCACGAAATGCCTCAACATTAGTGCTTATACATTGTTAGCAAACTAATTAATTCTATAAGTTGTTAAACCTTCTTCTCTAGTCTGTGAATTGTATCAAAACACTTGGTATCATTCATATTCTCCTCCTAATTAATAGGTCGAACCAGTATTGTTTAAATTCATGTAATAAACATCTAACTAATGATAACATTGAATAGATCTGGGATAACTAACAATCAAGATGATAAAATTAATTTCATTATTAATATAGTATTCGTAATACTTACCAGAAAATGGTGTATATTATTATATACATAATAAACATCGGCTTTTCTCTGAAAGCTATCATATCTATCTAACAATTCCTGATAACCTGTTTTTGTTACTGTAATTCAAACATGAAAATATGAGTTAAAGAACAGTATCATGTATATAACGTTATCAAAAGACACATTTATAAATAATTTGTTAAAACATTCTGCTGAACCAAGAAAAATACCAGAATTTATCAGTTAATGCAGAATGTGGAAGTACGGGATAGCCGTTTCGTCCTGATATGGGACTCCTCATTAATGCGCATCCACAATTCCCCACTGTGAGATTCGAACACATGACCTATCAGTCTCGTGCACGAACGCTTAACCACTGTCAAACATCAACTAATCCACGAAATTGAGCGGCACATCCACCATTGTCTCCGATAAGTTACAATCTCACAACAGACCTGATTGAAATTCACTGGTCACTGCTTCTCACTAGAACTCCGGGAAACAACTCTTGAAGACAGTCACTGGTGAGTATATGCTGATTAGTACCAGAAGGGGGTTTTGTGGATATTCTAGTAATTTTTAATAGTTGAGATTATGAGTTATTAAAGCTTAACCATCATGGGAAACCTGAAAGCACTAGATGGCCGTTTCGTCCTAGTATGTGACTCTTCAGCAGTGCGCATCCACGATCCCATCTCGCAAGATTCGAGCCCAGGACCAATCGAACTCGCACGTGGACTCAAGTTTGCAACAAAAATAATTCCAGAACATAAATTGATAACAAACGAACAACAATTCAATCATTACTGAGTAGTAGTTCATATCATGTTTATCTAGTTCTTTGGATCGAATTGAGTTCTGCACATTTTAATGTAACCACTAGTCTAAGTTCACATTGTGTTGCGAAATAAGATGGTTGAAGGTAATCAGATTTAGGTTTCACGTGAGTTTAGGCTCACTAACAGGAAAACCTTTTAATGTTGAGGTGACTGTTGACCTCATTAGGATTTGAATCCTGGTTAACCAAGTACAAATGCCTCAGTCTTATAAGAGGTCCATAGTGAGCTGAATATCTCAGTGTCAACTTATTAGACGGTGAAGCTGCATGATAAGAGTTCAGTTGACACAGATTCCACTAGCTTCCTCAATATTGCAGGTTGATCTCGCCAAGAAGTACCAACTAGCACGAAACTTAGGTTGAACAACATTTCCTCCAAGCTATCTCAGACCACTTAGTAAAAGATAAGGAAATTAATATGCGACAGTGTATTCAACAAAAACAATAATATAAAAATACACATGAATATATACTTGTTTCATTATTCAACATATTCAAGCATAAAACAGATAATTTCCAATAATAAAAACCAGCATCATCAAAACGTGATTCTTTAGCAGCGCATGTAGCTAATTGTTCAAGTACTGAAATAGCCTCATTTTGTAAACCAGCTTTGATAAATGCTATTTTATTAATGTAAACAAAAGAATTAGCATTACCTGATGAGAATGTAATTAAGTAATATGGGTAAATAAACGTTTTAACAGAGAATTAGTTTATCAATATGTTATGTCTTGTGATTGGTTCTATTAGGCCTATAGTGTTTTCTAATGACTGACGGTAGAGAGTCTATTAATATGAATGGAAACTAGTGTAAACTGTATAATACGGCATCTGACAAATTTACTAAAATTGTGATTTATGAACGAACAAGAGATTTTGTGAAATATAACACACTTAAATGCTAAAATCTGAATAGAGGAATTTCCAATCCTCATTTAGTTCATTTTTCTTATAGTAATATGATGGGTTACTGGAGTCTTGGAACCAGGATTGGCTTTAAGATAGATTGTGTGAACTTTAAATCGACTTTGCCCATTAGTTTGAGGTAGAGTGCTATTATGTTTGAGATTTGTTAACTGTCGATATTCTTCCAACCTTTTTAAGGATTAATTTTGGGTCCTGAACTAAGCAATGCAATAATCGTGAGCAGATGTCGACAAATGTTTCACAACACGGACTGAATATAAGAATCAAGGATTTAAACGGATTTGTATCTATATTTTTCAATTCAAACCATTCACACTCTTGATAATACGGCAACTAACACACAGCCTTAACAATAGTCTCCAAGCGATGGAACCCGAAAAAATGCAGGAGTGGAGCGAAAGTTTGACGCACAACAATGTCAAGTTTGGAGAAGTACAGTCAAGAATATATCGTTATTATTATAGGGAAAGGAAGAACATTTATTAATAAAAACTAGAATGAGTGTCATCTGTTAAGCTAGAAACATTTGCTGCAATTTTGTTAACGGTACCCTTATCATTAATTCACTAATCTTGTTACTGTAGTCGTTACGTGATTGATGTGTTGTATGAATTCTCATATTACTAACACTTTTACACGGAATCAGGAGACTAAACAAGGTATTGCAAGTAGATTTTATGACTAGGACTCAGAAGTTACGCAACTGTCTAACTATTAGACCATAACCACAATACAAATCTATGTTAAATGTTCAAGAAAGTTAACTATCAAAGTAATACTGTGCAGATGTATGTAAGATCACTTACCTGTTTGAGCTTCTTCAAATTTATCATTTTCTGCTAACCAATTAGCATATGGTAAATAGACTTTTCTTGTGTAATCATGATGTTTCTCTACTAAACTGAATGCCTAGAGATTACAAAACAGTTTTGGTATGAAAATATAACCAATATTGTACTAATTACAGAAGTTGATACTGATTAGAAAACATTAATACTTCATTCACACTTCATTTAAAACTAAACAAGAAAAATAATCACTTATGTAGAATAAATTTCCGTAGATATACTATTCACCTTCACTTGGTATTGTTTGTTTGAACCTTCCCATTGATGTTTAGGACTGCAATTGATCAGTCTCTTATCAGCATATGTGCATACTGTGTGTATTGCGTCGATATTGTTTGAATTAACATACATTATATGCAAAGATGGATAGTGGATAGCAGTTGAATTCAAGACGCGCGTTTCATCTTATCTGGGACTCGTGAGCTGAATGTGCCTGCATCTCAGAGTTGATTTTCCCTCTGGCGCTCAATGAGAAGACTAGAACAAACAATACCAAGTAAATTTAAACTTCACACCATTGCATAAGCAAGTGCCTATCAGGATTCAGTAGCTAAGTAGATAACGTGATGGCGTTTGAAGTGCACGGTACTGAGTTTGAACCCCAGGAGGAACATCAAATCTGAGGTGCAGGTACATCCAGCTAACGAGTCTTAAATAGGATGAGACGCGCGGCTTGGATTCCACTGCTAGCCACATTCCATCTTTACTATTCAACTGCCTACAAGTACATATTTTATACAAAGTAATCAAGAAAGAAGATATTAAACTATGTCACTCAATTTACGAATTTTAATTTCTATAATAATAAACATATTTTTTGTTATATCCCAATGAGTAGAAAAATTGTATGTCTGACGTTTCGTGACTTAATATGACCCTCTTCTTCAGAGGAAATAAATAGCAGACAAAAAATAAAACAAGTTTAGATTGTACAAAGAGATTATTGTACCATTTAAACTTGTGTTAATTTATTGTCGTTTATTTGTTTGCTCTGAAGAAGCGGGTTATATTAAGTCACGAAATGTCAGAAATACAACTTCTCTACTCACTGGGATATAAAAAAAATACTTTCTACACAATTCTCAATTTATTTGAAATGATCAAGTTTTACCTTGGCATTCAGTCAGTTAGTCAGCCAGCTACATCGTAGGACAAGTCAGATATATGCATCGGTCCATGTTGCCATACCTCATTAGCACAACAAGGTGAACACCAAATTCATAGAAGTATTCACTTCAGTGATAGTCATATATAAAAGAAAGATTGCATATAAGGATACAGTTTAGGAAGAAAGAATTAATTGCTAGAAAGAAAGATATCTCATAGTTTAAAGGAAGGCATAGAGTGTAAACACCTACGCCATTGTGATCGATTCTGAGCTATATCACCCAGAGTCTCCAACCATTGTTTACGATAGTCATTGGTACTCATAAATTAATATCTTCATTTTTAGCATCGGATAAACAATTTTCTAATGACTGATTATAAACAATCATAGAATATAGTATCAAGTAGAAATGATATTTAGTTAATCAGTTAATTATTCGTATACAAATTGATACATATAATACATCTGTTCAAATGGTCACATCATATTACCATCACAGTGAGATGAAATTATCAGAACGAATCACAGAGTAGTAGAAAGAGTAATAGTATCAGTGATAGTAAAAAATATCAAATATAGGCAATAAAATCATACTACAGTGTATGCTACTTATATTGACGGATATAAGTAGTATGTAACACTAATCAGAAGTGGAATGCCTTCAGCAGAAGATCGAATTGAAAAGAACAGAAATGTAAACAGAGATGAATTATAATAAGAACAGAATTGAAAGGTTCATGAAACATGTAAGGGACATCTGAAGGAAGGTACTCTATAATTTCAGATTAAAAATAAATTAGTTTTTCCCACTTGAGTTTTCGCTCACATCAATACCATATTGACATCTTTTCAGTTAATCAGAAAAATGTTTAAGCATCAAACAATGAACGGTAAGCTTTAATAGAATTACAGTCAATAAATGGTCTTTACATGATTCATAAACTTTCATGTGGTGGATTATTTTTTCTAGTAAATGAAACAAAGTCTAAGATTAGGCATTAAATGTTTAGGTTAGAGTTATGAGGTAGGGTTAGATAATTCATTATAAAATGGCATTAGATATAATGAGAAAGAATGCTTTGTAACAAAACTTCACGGGTTGCTATTTGAAATGTGATTAGTTTCTCCATATATTTAAGCGCCCTCCTTTTGTTCATAAAATCCTGAAGATAAGGATTAGGGATTACGGTATGATATTTAACCACACAAACACCCTTGAACATGCCCTGAATCAATTCATGAATGCTCAAATGAAGTCTACACTAGAAGCAGGTATTTCTTGTAATCAGGTTTACATGCCATGTCGCGTCTACTGTGTGTTTGCACAAGAAATATGTTTCTTTGAAATCAATTTTAAGAATATTACAAATTGTATATGGACAATTTACACTTGATTCTTAATAAGAGAATATCTATCCTACAGTGTCTTCAGATTTTTCTCAGAAATTCGAGATATTTTACCTTTAAATTTGATTGGTTCGCTCGGTATCATCAGCATATTATAATTTAACTGGGAAATAAGAAATTAAACTTTAAGTCATTTCCTTTATTACATTATACATGGTGTTTATCTGGCTAGATGAAAATAAACTGTAGTTACTGCATCAGTAGGCCTCAGTATACACAAAGAAAAAGCAAGATCTTCAAGTACAACACAGAGAACACGAACCAAACCAATCACACTTGATAAGGAAGCTCTGGAAGATGTAGAATCTTTCATGTACATAGGAAGCATCATCGATGAACAAGGAGGATCTGATGCAGATGTAAAGGCAAGGATTGGCAAAACAAGGGCCGCATTTCTACAATGGAACTAAAAACAACTATCAACCAATATCAAAGTCACAATCTTCAATACGAACGTCAAGACAATCCTACTGCACGGAGTACAAGTATTTATAAATAGCTGTCTACGCAATATACTCAATATCCATTGGCTGGATACCATCAGCAACAGCCTAATTTAGGAGAGAACAAACAAGCTTCCATCTGAATTAGAAATTAGGAAAGTACGCTGGAAGTGGATAGGACATACATTGTGCAAATCAAGAAACTCGATCACGAAGAAAGCGCTAACTTGGAATCCTGAAGGGAAGCGGAAATAAGGAAGACCGAAGAACACACTACGTTGGGAAATAGAGGTAGATATGAAAAGGATGAATGGCAACTGGAAAGTATTGACCAGGACAGTGTTGGATGGAGAATGTTGTTGAGCAACCTATGCTCCTCCATGAGGAGTAAGAGACGTAAGTAAGTTGTTTTTATCATTAAAAACATGCATTTGTAAACAAAAGTATTTATGTTCAAGAAAAATATGCAATCTGGGTCCAAGTCAAGTTTTGAAGTATACTAGTCACAAAAGCATTATCTGTTAAAATGGAGTACTATGCTAGAATGCAGGTATTCGGATTGTGAGACAGTCAAGATCCATCTTTATAAACTTTATATATTTGGTCTAACGTCCTACCGTTCATAACGAAAACTCTTGACTGTAAAGGTTTATAAGGTGGTCGATTGATGATAATACCCATGAGATATGAAGGTTTCAGTGATGATCCTTGGTGAAATTATCACAATAAATTGCTAAGGAGTCTTAAAATAAAAGAGAAAATTTGTCATGTGCTGAATTGTTTACATTCAATCACATTAATTTTACAGAAATCTTTCTTTATTCAGGAGTTTTATGGGACCTCTATTTTCGATTTGTAATAGTGATTCATTCATATGACCTTCTATTTTTGTAACGCCAGTAAACTTGGAAATTAACCTTGTATTGTTTATTAATTGTCTACTCTTGTTCGAAGTCCAAAGGCTGTATTCTTTAAGAGTCTACAAACTGTTTTGTGTTATGTCTGTGTTACCTCTGTTGTATCCGATATCTTGTTATTTATACTTTAGACGGGAACCACTGAAATGCTTACAACGTAAAGTAAGAATATAGAATACTGGCGTAAATAACGATTTATTGATTCTCCTAAATACATCTCTAAAACCTGTCATCTGAAAGCATCTTCATTAGGCGAAAGTACACTAAATACATAGTCGAATTCATGCACAAAATTAAACTTTATATAAACAAATATGTATAGTTACTGTAAGAAATCACTCAATGAATATAATTCATTAGAATTGATATAGGGAATACAAAGATCATATTGGACAAAAGCACATATCTGTCATAATCAACAAATAAAACTTACTTCTTCCCAATTGTATGATTCAATATATAAATTTAATTGATTTTCAATATCACCATATTTAGCATAACAATCTGCAGCGAAAGCATATTCACCAAGTCGAGTTAAACTACGTGCACAACGTTCTAAATATTCATGATCACTTTTATCTAAACGACGACTAATATCTAACAAACTAATTTTAGTGCATATACATGGAAGAAGAACAAAAATTTAGAAAAAAAAATGGTAAACAGCGTTCTTAGAATATGGTTTAATGATAATGTTACGGTGAGACTCTAATTTATGGACGACCTATGAACGAATCTTAAGTGATCTTGAGAAATATTAGTCAATCAGCAAAAAGTCAGTATAGATTAAAAATATACTATAAACAACCAAAGAAATAAAAAGGGATACACTTCTTATACCTGGTTCAAAAACTTGTCAAGGTTAGAAAGACGTTCAGAGGTTCTAAAATCGTAATTCATGCAGTAGAGGAAATCATCCATATGGCTACAGAATAGTCGGCCTCTGAAGCCATGATAAAGGCTGAAAAACTCTTTCAGCCTCGACCATATAGCTTCAATATTGTTTATGTGCACTCCGGTTGTTGAGTGCACAAAATGCTACTTGTGGATAACGACACGATGCACATAACCAAGCCTAGGTAAGAGTCTGTACTCTCTTCAACATCCGTATATATTGTAGTACCTGGCTGCAGCCAGTGTTACTGGTGCTTTTATTATCCAGATCGCAATAATTGTCGTAATTCGCCTTAGTTAAGAGTTATATATAGGGTTTTCATCACGAACTGACATCAGCTATAATGCCAGGAGTTTATTTAGCCAAAAGGATGAAAGGCTTTCGCGTTAAATTCCGAGATCTTTTATCTTACGCGTGATTAATTCGTTCACAAATTATAGTCTCGCCGTTTTATTTGTTATAGCCGCTCAATTATCACGTTTTGTACAAAATTCTTTGTGAAACGATCATACGTTAGCATTAAGCACTGAAGTTGGCGCCGTAACCTTGAATTCTCTAAAACGCTTCTGACTGGCTCGTCGGTAAATTAGAGTCTCGCCAATGTTACACTTGAAAACAAACTCAATATTGTATTGACTAGTGTGTTACATTGAGAATAAAGTCAATGTTACAGAATGTTACACTGAATTTGGAAAAATTTTTAATCCGTCCTCTTAACTAATCAAAAACAACTCAGTTAAGTTTTACAAGAAATAATGAAGCGTTGAACTAATCTAAATACTATGTAATAAAACAGTAGAGTCACATTTTGATGTAGTTAAAGGTCAACAATAACCAACCAACATGGAAGTCTATAGGACAAGCTGTGAGTCATATGCGGAGGAATTGAACACTTCAATTGTACGTGAAGTTTGTACTGACGAAGTTGTTCAGAATAACGATGAAAGCTCTATGACTAAACTATCTAGTTCAAAGAATAAAAATCCATCAAAATCATCCACCTGAGCTACAAATCTTATCCATCTTCTCAAAAGTCACATTTCCATAAGCTTTTAGTTTTTCCAGGAATTTCGCTTCCATCCGAAATCCTACACTAATAAATATCTGTCCAAAAATTATATCCGTTTCACTATTTGAAACAGACATGGCTGACATCAATGGTGAATAGAATTGACATCGCTGAAATAAACTCACTACCTTCATGGGTCCAATAATAGGCATTTCAGTGGTCAGCTAAAATGGTGTTTTTGATTGGTTGGTAAAGGGTACAGGTGAATGGATAAGGAGTTTTAAAACAAATTTCATACCCTTGAAAAATTATTTCCGTTTAAAACATATTACTCTATTATTACTGAAACTTAATATGATACGTTCACACTGGAGACCGAAGTTCATCGGTTCGATCTCCTGGGATGTAGTCGTGATTGCATATTGCTAACGAGTCCCACATAGAAACGAAAAAGTTGTTCAATGCTTTCTGGTTTCCAGCGATGATTTAATTAAGACCAGTTTTTCATTTAAATTATGAAAATAATTAAATTTTATCAAAGTTTTTAAAGTATAAATTGAAATAATATATAAAAATAATTGAAGCCGAAGTTAGTGTAGTTCAACCAGGTCTGTTGTGAGATAGTAACTCACTGAAGACAATGGTGGATGTGTCGCTCAACTTCGTGGATTAGTTAAAGTTAGACATTAACACCATTGGATGCCGGATCAGTGGCCTAGAGGTTAAGTGTTCGCGAGCGAAACCGATAAGCACTGGGTTCTACATCCCGTGAGCGGGATCATGGACGCGCACTGCTGAGGTGTCCCGTAATAGAACGAAACGGCCGTCCAGAGCTTCTAGGTTTCCCATAGTGGTCTAGCTTCAATTGACACATGATCTCAACTATTTATAATAGAAAACCTATGGATAACTTTCCCTTACACGCTTTTCTGTTGAATAATTCATCTTGTAGTCTATTTGATGAAATGTCATGTAAAAAGCAATTTATTGTCATATTGAGATAAAGACTCAAGAGAATGTAATCAAAAATAATGTCGTGGGTCCGAGTCTCATGAGGCGTGATTGTGGATGCGCACTGCTGAAGAGTCACATAATAAGAGGAAAAGGCCATCCAGTGCTTTCAGGTTTCTCATGATTAATTAGCTTCAATCACTCATAAACTGAACTATTAAAACCCCCTTCTGATATTAATCAGCATATACTCACCGGTGACTGTCTCCAAAAGTTGTTTCCTGGAATTCTAGTGAGAAGCCGTGGCCACTGGAGCTCAACTAGGTCTGTTGTGAGATTGTAACTCATCGAAGACAATGGTGGGTGTGTCACTCGACTTCGTGGATTAGTTGAAGTTAGACATGAACACCACTGGATGCCGGCTCAGTGATAGCTTCCGAGTCCCGTGGGGTGGGATCGTGGATGCGCAATAGTGGGGAGTCCTACAGTAGGACGAAACGGGCATCCAGTGCCTCCAGGTTTTCCATGACGGTCTAACTTCAATTGACTCACACATTCAACTATAAAATCTCCACAAAACCACCTTCCTTCTAATATATAAAAAAACAACTTACATATCAGTCCATCCATGTAAATCAGATAGTTCAATAGCTTTCATATATTCACCTGCATCAATATACATTTTAGCTGCTGTTCTATGCTCATTTGTTGATTTAGCCCAATCAGCATTTTTACTTAATAATAATTTATGTTCATTGATATCATCATCATTATTATTAGATTTGATCATTTCATGTGCTTCATTAAAACGACGTAAATCAGTATACATATCAATGATTTTATGATTTATTTTATTAGAATTTGAATTCGCTTGTGTATAATACATAACAGCTTCATTGAAATTTCCTAAATATGCTGAAATATCACCTAGAATCATTGAAATATTTGATGAATTATTGATTAATTCTTTATTATTCCATTCACCACGTTTAGATCTTTCCTAAATAATGAAAGAAAGAATTCTCACTTGATAAACAGAGAACATTAGATTAAAAGATGTTAAACTTTTGCTGATGAGTCTCAAATAAGACGAAACAAACTTTGAGAATTTTACTACTTGTCATCATTTTATTATTCTTTTTCTATTTTATAGCAAGTTATAAAACAATAAACTGAAAGTAGAAAGTAGCTAAGTCCTATAACATAAAGAGATCTATCTGGATTGACTCTAGAAGAATTGATTCATTTGCATAAAAAGAAGTCTATTCAACCAGATAGTATAAACTTATGTTGTTAACACGATGTATATTATTATTATTATTATGTTTAAACGTAACGCGCTAAAGTTCATTAATTTAAAACATAACATTGTCTCATTCACTTGATATTGTTTTATTTGGATCTTCCGATTGATTTTTAGGACTGTAATTGATCAGTCTCTTATTTGAATATGGGCATCCTTTGCGGATTACCTCGATATTGCCTTAACTCACAAGCATTATAAGCAAAGATGGATGGGAGCTAGCAGTAGAATCCAGGATTTGCCTGTCGTTCTATGCTGGATGTACCTGATGTCAACTCCGGGACTCGGACTCAGTACCGTTCACTTCAAAGTCGATAAAGCGATGGTGTTTGAAACGAAAGGTACTTAGATCGAGTCCCAGAGTGAACATCAAATCTGAGATGCAGGTACATCCAGATGACGAGTCCCAAATAGAACGACAAGCGAATCATGGATTCCACTGCTAGCCACCATCCATCTTTGCTTGTAATGCTTGTGAATTAAGGCAATATCGAGGCAATCTGCACAGTATGCACATATGCCAATAAGAGACTGATCAATTGCAGTCCTAAACATCAATGGTAAGATTCAAGTAAACAATACCATGTGAATTTACTCTATGAAGACTTTTATTTCGAGAATAAATAATGATCTAAATAGTTTTGTGATCATTGATGTAATTAAAACATTATTAAATAATAATACGTTTGTGGAGCTGTTGAATATTCATTAAAAACACCATTTGGTAAACACTCGTTAGAACAGTTTATAGTATGCCTAGATCCTCAGACTCTAAATTTACAAATTTTGGCTAAACTATTCTGCTTGGCATGGGTAAACACCAGAGAACAAGTACTTCGGTCAATATAACCAAACTCGAACCAATCACTGCCAACCAACAGTTGATATAATAAAACACTAATCATCATTTTTTATACACAATTGAAGGATAAATACTTGTGAATTTCTGACAAGCAAATTCTGAATGTTAAACCTCGGCTGTATCAATTCATGAAATAAGGTGCTCAGTTAGATAGTACTGATTTGAGAACTGAAAACGTGAGTATTAGATTTCAAGATTCTTGTGACATAAGCGACACGCGACATAAAACTCAATCCAATGCATTTTGATTATAAACTATTACACGGCTTTCTACTTGATAACCGATATGTGTAAAACAGATAAAACAATTCTGACGATTCCTAACCACCATTCCCTGAAGTGTGTCCATGACATATCAGTAGATTGAAACACAAAATTTTAATTAAGTTCGATATGAGATATATGCTAGTACGAAGGGATAGTTGTGTAAAAATTACTTAGAATAACTTCTGTTCCTAGCCATTCATTTGTTAACACTAAACAGTATATCCCAAAATTGATCTAAGTAGAACAGAAGTACTTTTAATTGATTTATCACTGAATAATGACCGATTTCATCTTGAGGGAAATGATGATTTTTGGTGGATCCGAACCCATATCTTGTTGTTATTATTATTATTATTCATAATATTACTGTGTACTTGGATCCAGTTTAAGCATGTTATACAACTGTTATTCACATTGATCACCCGCTGACTATTAGTGACCATTAACAATTATTAACAGAAAAAATAATATGAATGAGAAGTCAATATTATACGTAGCTGGTAAGTGAAAAGTGACTTACCTCAAGTTGTTGAATAAAAGTAAGCATAAGTATGTCTTCCAACTGTATATAAGCACATTTCGCTACCTATTTACAAACAGAAGAAGAAGAAACATGTAATGTTAGAAATTTAAAAGTTTACTAACAATTGCATATTGTCATTAGTTTTGATAGTTTCACCTTTTGAAAATGAAGGAAAAGCTGTGAAAGTTGCTCTGACTAGGATCTTAAAATACAGTCCTACCATCCATGTAATCAAGAATTATCCAAGTGATTAAACCTCATTATAGCTATCAACAAAAAAACATAATTATTTATAGAAAATTGTCTTTACAAGATATTCAATGTCCGTTGACCGGATATCATCAGTAACAGACTACTGTGGAAGAGAACAAGCCAACCTCCATATGAAGAGGAAAAGACACAAAGAGTGGATAGGACATACATTGCAGAAATTATCAAACTGCTTCATGAGGCAAGTCCCAACTAGAAATCTTCAAGGTAAAAGGGAAAGAGAAAGACCAAAGAAAACACATCGCTGAGAATCGGAGGTAAACACCAAAAGGATGAATAGCAACTGGACATAACTGGGAAGGGTTGACCAAAACAGAGTTTGATAGAGAATGCTGGTGAGCGGTTTACACTCCTTCACTTGGGGTTACAGGGGTAAGTATGTATAGCTATTCAGAATTGTTATTTTTTTAATTTTATTTCACATCTGTTAGAATGAAATAAAATGTGCGATTGAGAAGTAATTCAGAGTAATATTTACTAAGTGCATCATTCTTTGTATTTATTCAATGTGCCATTTGTTACATAATTCAACTGCACTCTGATTGTTTTATTTATGCATGATATTCATTGATTAATCATGAAATACTGGTAAACTCTATATGCACATGATTGTGTTCGATTATTCAGTTGCTGTTATGTTTTCGTAAGGTAAAGAAAAATCTGCATCTGTCAACAATTTTTGTGATTTCTAAGGCATTGAGCAAGCGGAAGTCTCCCCTGTTCCAAGTTTACGTTTTCACAGTTATAACAATATCAAACTAAAGAAAAAGCAGTTTCCTATAACCTCGAACCACCCATACGCTTCAACATAAACACTGAAGAAAAGGCGCGAAAGGTGGGTAGATGGGTTACTCTAAGGTCAGTTATTTACAGGAAATCTGGTGTTTTCATTGTTTCAAGTGACTTTATTCTTCTAGAATGTTCTGAAGACAAACGGCATATATATATATATATATTATTCAATAAAAAATTGTCACATATTCCTTCATTTTTCTAAACCTTCCTGGGTAGCGTCTGCTCACTGGATAAATAATTCAACGATTTACGAAAGCATATCCTAAATTCAGTTTCATCATTGAGTGTATTAGCTATGCGTATTTCTCAATCAAAATCTTTCTACTTATCAAGTCTATCTAAGATCGTTAAATAGTTATAAGCAGCTCTGTTATGGGTTGTCTATCCCTGTCAAATACTTAATATTACTGAAATTCTTGAGTACGATGCATTCATAATGTTAGTAACTAAATAATAAATCTTTTCCTAATTTGAACTAATTGATAAGATTTAGTTTTAGCAACATAGATAACACATAATGCCAAGGTTTAGCACGTACATATTTCTTGTGTATAAGCAATGTATTTTTGGCAAACCAAACATGCTGGTATTTATCTACCACATAAGATGCTCATGCTCATATGTATACTATAAAATGCATGAACCCAAAACTCGTGTATTTCTGGTATGTATGTAATTTATATTTGCCAGCTAAGAGTAACTTTCATGATCCCCTCTCAGTAGTAGCAAATCTAGTTTTGCATCTTGGAATTTTGATGTTTCCCCCAGCCTAGATATATTTGCTTATCTGGGTTCAAATTAATGTCCAGACAAGGCGATCGACTTCTCCAAAGAGGCTTAGCCAACGTTCATGGCTTGTACGGTCAAATCAACTTTTTTATCCTTTATAAACGTTTTTTCTGTCTAAAAGTCACTTGTAAACCCATAAACAACCTTGACTTTTTTGTATATGAATTAACCTTCAAATTGAAGCTCCATCCATATCACTACATTCTCGTCTAGTTCAGAATTAAGGAGTAGAAATTTGTGGATACATAAGAATCCGTTAAGAAATCAGTATCATAGTTAACTCGGGGATCACAGTTTTCATTTATAATGGTAAATATTACCTACCGTTTTTTTAAGAATAGCACGACTGAAACTTATCAAAACCTACTTTTAAATTAAGTTTATTTAAAGCCATTCGTCCAATAACTTTCCAGTCTTGATCAGTTAGTCCAAAACATGCAAGCTGATAGGCTTCATTCAATTGACCAGTTCCCAAATAATGATAAACAGCAGGACTTAATGAGATTTCGACATGATTTATAATATTCTCATGTAAACAATAAATAATGGAACCTGTGAAATTAAGTATTTGACCCTAAAAACAAAATTGAATGATAGATGTATTTGAATTCTTTAAAGAATAAGCATAATTTGAATATTCCATGACATGTATATTGGTCTATTTAAGAAATAAACGAAATGGGTCATTGGTAAAATCTGAAAAAAATTACCAAAAAATTCATTTTGTCTTGAGTGGAATATGTAAATTGATGATTGGTTACCATGAAAACTACAAAGATGATGAATGCACAGGAAGACTGTTGAGAACATTTAACATATGTTGTATATTCGGTTTCTTAATTGCTAGTTCATTGCCATAATTATCTTTGGTGAATTGAACTTAGGAAAATAACTTATGAACATTATTCTGTTGAGAAAACTATGTGAAAAAACGAGGGGAGCTAAAGATTGGCAGGATTTGGCGGGTTAACTTCAGATGCTTCTAAGGATGGTAATAGAATATTTCTAGCTATATTAAGAGAGCAATTAGCTGCAAATTTAGAGTTTTGGATGTAATTAAATTGGAAAGATCTTTATCAGTGACCATCTCTCAAGAATAAGATTCACTTTTTGAAATTTACGGAAAAATTAGTTCAAGTATCAACTTTGTTCCTTATCAAATTAGAAGGCTTTAGGGTTCAATCACATGACAGGTTATGGATGTATTGGTTCTAATCTATATTTTTCTATTGATTTACCTTCTTGTTACTAACGTATAACATATGTATATAGGATCATAGCTCAATACTGTCATACTTAATAGTAACAAGGACTGCGTAGACGCCCAACTTCGTGACCAACAGGCAGGATTCCGTAATGATAGATCGCGTACAGACCAAATCGCAACTCTACGGATCATTGTGGAACAATCAATTGAATGGAATTCATCACTCTACATCAACTTCATTGACTACGAGAAAGTATTTGACAGTGTGGACAAGACAACATTATGGAAACTTCTTCGACACTACGGCGTGCCTCAGAAGATAGTCAATATCATACGGAATTCATATGATGGATTAAACCGCAAAATCGGGCATGGAGGACAATTGGCAAACTCCTTCAAAGTAAAGACCGATTTCAGGCAAGGTTGCTTACTCCCACCCTTCCTCTTTCCCCAGGTGATCGACTGGATCATGAAGACGTCAACATCTGAAGGGAAGCACAGGATACATTGGACATCTAGGATGCAGTTGAACGATCTACACTTCGCAGATGATCTGGGCCTTCTATAGCACACGCAACAACAAATGCAGGAGCAAACGACCAGTGTAGCAGTAGCCTCAGCAGCAGTAGGTGCTCAATATACACAAAGGGAAAAGCAGGATTCTCCGATACAACACAGAATGCATCGATCCAATCACAATTGACGGAGAAGATTTGGAAGATGTAAAAAGCTTTACATGTTTGGGTAGCATCATTGATGAACACAGTGGATCTGATGCAGATGTGAAGGCGCGGATCGGCAAAGCAAGAGCAGCATATTTACAACTGAAGAACATCTGGAACTCAAAGCAACTGTCAACCAACACCAAGGTCAGGGTTTTGAATACAAATGTCAAGACAGTTCTACTATATGGGGCAGAAACCTGGAGAACTACAAAAGCCATCATCCAGAAAATACAGGTGTTTATTAACAGTTGTCTACGCAAAATACTTCAGATCCGTTGGCCGGACACTATTAGCAACAACGTACTGTGGGAGAGAACAAACCAGATCTCAGTGGAGGAAGAAATCAGGGAGAAACGCTGGAAGTGGATAGGACACACATTGAGGAAAGCATCCAACTGCGTCACAAGACAAGCCCTCACATGGAATCCTGAAGGTCAAAGGAAAAGAGGAAGACCAAAGAACACATTACGCCAAGAAATGGAAATAGACATGAGAAAAATGAACAAGAATTGGATGGAACTAGAAAAGAAGGCCCAGGACAGAGTGGGTTGGAGAATGCTGGTTGGCGGCCTATGCTCCATTGAGAGTAACAGGCGTAAGTAAGTAAGTAAGTAATAGTAACAATGATAATACGAAGAATCAGATCTATTACTGAATAGTTATTTGCCTTATTAACTAGACTACATTTAAAGAACCGCATCACGAGGAAAGTCCTAACTTGGAATCCTGAAGGGAAGAGGAAAAGAGAAAGATCAGAGAACACATTACGTCGGGAAATAGAATCAGATATGAAAAGGATGAATAACAACTGAAAGGAGCTGGAAAGGATTGCACAGGACAGAGTTGGATGGAGAATGCTGGTGAGCAGCTTATGCTCCTTCACGAGGAGTAACAGGGGTAAGTAAGTTAGCAAGTAAGTAACATTCAAATCTGAAAAGCCTTCATGATAAACTGTTCAAAATTAAAGGGAATTAACCTCGTTATTTGAAATAGACCATAAAAAGTCACCTTATAATTTTACTTAGATCGTAACACAAATTTTAGAATCGAGAAGAATAGTTGAAATTAGTTATCATCCTAGTTCGCACGAACCATCAAGACGTATATGCAATATTGAGATAATTGATGTTATTTGTTTAAGACTGCAATTAATCAATCTCTTATTCTCATATGTGTATCATATGCAGATTGCCTCGATATTGTCTGAAATCACAAGCATTATCAGCAAAGATGGATAGTGGAATGCAAGGTGCGCGTTCCGTCCTATTTGAGACTCGTCAGCTGGACGTACGTGCATCTCAGAATTAATATCCACTTCGGGACTCAAACTCAGTACCGTTCTCTTCAAATGCCATCGCATAATTCACTTAGCCACTGGAATGCAGGTAAACACATCTGGCGAGTCCACAGCAGGACGAAACGTGCGTCCTGAATTCCACTGCCAGCCACTATCCATCTTTGCTTATAATACGACATTTAATTGACATAAACAACGTAACTTATTATAAGGATACTAATCACAAGCTTAATATTGAAATATAAATGTTTTAAGAACAAATAATCCACTTGATTAATTTTCCAATTCTAGTGATTTTAATACGTTCACTATCTAATCTTAACATATTGTGTGTCGAAATAAACATATCAAATAACCAAGACGATTTGAAACAGCATAATTATTATAATGTCCAAATGAAGAAGTTTTGTAGAGATTCGTTTAATTTAAGGATATTATTTACTATACCTTAAATTTGTTTGGAGTATCCTTGCTGATCAGAGAACACTTAAGAGTTACTTCTTCTTAGTATGGAACTCTGATATAGTGCTTATTCATGAATGACCCAGTACCTAAAGTCTCACGATGAACACTTAACTCTGATTTTCAGAGGTACGTTCCTTACTCAATTCAATCTGTGATGAATACTACTTTATTATCTAAACATCTGTTGAATAAAAAAAAGAGTAATCAATTACTTTATTATATTGGCGATGACTTGGAAATTGTCCATTTTTGATAAATAATAAATCATTACCAGTATAAGCTAATAATTCATTATTAGTTGTACTCCATGAAACACTAAAAACATTTGGTTCCTAAATCGTTAAAAAAATAGAATAAATTAAGAAGGGAATTTTATATCATTTCGAAGTAATTAGACACGATGAAACTATCAGTAAATACAACAACAACAAAAAAACATTGGTGTGAAGAGTTTTGTGGAAATTGTTCGTTTGCAGCTCTTTTAGAGTTACTGCCAGTCTTAAGCCTTGGTAAAGGAGGAGAGTTGAACATTAAGTATACTACTCAATCTCGTAGAAAACAACTTCAATAACAAAATGCTAACTTGAGTACAATAACACTAGATAGCTGTTTTATTCTAGTTTGGGATTTTTAGTGTTTCATAGAGAAAGTAAGACCATTGGATAGTTTATTTCACAATCTTCCTATCGAAATTGATCTCAGTTGTAAATATATTTTTTGGTGTCATTACATCGGACATCTAACTGTTGTTCATATTAGATGAAGAGGGTTTATATTTTATGTGATATATATTTGACAACTTATCTTGTAGATGATATTTGTTTTCTTTTCTTTTGTCATAGTGTCATTGAGCCTGAACATTTCAATTGTTAAGCACAACGCAAGTGATATTAGGCTATGCTGGTTAGATGATCAACCTATCCGACATTTTTTTAATTCCTTCATCGATATTAATCACTGTTTACAAGTTATAAACTAGAAGAGAGGATGTACTATTTCATCATTATTTAGTTTTCAATTACTCTTTAACCAATAGTTAGTCAGTCAGATATATAATAAGATATTACTGAATCAACGAATTCCCAATAAATCAATCAAAGTAATCTGAATTAGGCGTAAAGATTTTACAGCTTAAAGATGTTTAAAATCATTGAGGATTATGGGATTCGACAGTACTATGCATTAACAACATGTACAGAAATTTAATCCAGGATCTTTAGTCCTTCAAGTGAACACATTATCATTAGACCGCTAAGATAGTATCCATTAATTTAAAAATTTCTAGATTCGATCAATTCATCATGTGGATCAATCGTTGAAATTTGTGAATAAGGGAATGCTAACTCAGTGGGGTTAAAAGATAAAGTATTAACTGCAAGATATTAAATTTCTTCATTTCATTACTGAAGACTCCGATAATGTAATCGAATAACTAGACAGTTCTCCTTGGTTTTTTTTCAAAAACTATCTAAATTAAAGTCATTTAATGGTGTAACTAGTCTTCGAATCATTTTAATGAATAACATTTCCTCTTACTAACTTGAAATAAACTTTCTTGTTTTTCCAATGAGTATACGCTCATTGTTTTGTTATTATCCACTATAGCTAATTTATCACGGTTTCGGCTAATATCCACAGAGTAAACTTCATTCATTACTTTGGTTAAATATATAGGAAATGTATTATCCACAATAATTTGAACTACCTAAATGAAACAAAAAGAAAGGATTATTTAAGAATGGTAATCCATAAAAAAAAGTTAAATTCACATTTTGATCATCATATTTTCATTTGATCGGTTCATGAATGATCTACGAAATCAATATTTAAAAGATACTGATATTTCAATGGTTAAGATCATGAGTCAGTTGAAGCTAGACCATCATGAAAAACCTGGAAGCACTGGACGGCCGTTCCGTCCTATTGTGGAACTCCTCAGCAGTGCGCGTCCACAACCTCGCCCCCTGAGAGATTCGAACCACTAGAACACTGAGCCGGCATCCAACGGTGTTAATGTCTAACTTCAACTAATCCACAAAATTGAGCGACACATTCACCATTGTCTTCAGTGAGTTACTATCTCATAACAGACTTGGTTGAACTCCACTGGTCACTACTTCTCACCAGAACTCCAGGATATACCTCGTGGATGCGCACTGCTGAGGAGTCACACAAAAGGACGGAACGGCCGTCCAGTGCTTCCAGGTTTTTCATGGTGGTCTAGCTTCAACTGACTCATGATCTTAACCATTGAAATTACTACAATCTCCACAAAACCCATCTGAGATACTGATATTGTAAATAAATTTCAATTGTTGAATCATACCTAGACTAGTGATCACATTGCAATTTGGTTGATAGGATTTGATCTGCACTACGAAGGACCTGATATACATGACATTGATCACCATCCAGTGATCAATTAATTGCAAACACATCTCAGTCCTACAGGAGGTCCTTTGCAGCCCGGATAGCTTAGTGATAACGTCTCTAAATGTGAAGCTAAGTAACGCAAGGTTGAATCCGTTAAGAAGCTTTGCCCAGTGATCAATCAATTGTGATCTTCAATTGTGTCTTATTTTCATGGTTAATATTTAGTTTATAAACGCGTCATAATAGACGATCGATAACAAGTTGATACCTATCCATGTGAGTACTTAGTAATTACGTTGATCTTCATGAATATTTATTAACAATGCTACATATCATCAAAGTTTCGGTGATCGGTCACATATCCAAAAACAAATGTACAATGTGCAAGAACTATTCAGCAGTATGATTAAGATGTCCTTGTTAAAATTTGCAAATACTGGCAAAAGAAAACTGTAAATTGTGGGATAATAATTTAACGGTTCAATGGAACGTCACATTCAGTCATTACAGAATGGCTGCACGGTATAGAAATAATTATGAGAAATATTCATTCACATAATATGATATTCTTTGCTGTATACATTTATGTAAAATTCCGACTCCGCAGGTTCCCAAACAGCTTACACAACGACTGACGTTCATTTCTGATGGTTCTCTGATTATACTGGGTACCGTAAATATATTTCATTAAAAAAACGGATTGGTTGATACAACCATTTTCAACAAATTTACAGATTACGCTGCATTTAAAGATATTGCATTCTCTAATTAGAAATTTTCCTCTAGGGCATGTTGTCATGTTGAGATGTTATCAAAGCTCATTTCATTTTCAAATGAATCATAATGACTATGAAAGAACCAAACTCAAGGAATATAACATTTCCAAAATCATTATTTTGAGCTACCTATCTCTATAATCTCAATTTATAAAATAACAGACTTATTTGAAGGAGTGTTACAAAACTCATTTCTTAATGATTTATAATAAGATATAATCAATAAAACAAAGAAACACCGGTTTGATATCATGAATAGTTGTGTTTTATACCAATAAAAAACGCAATTGAAGCTAGACCACCATGAAAAACCTGGAAGTAGTGAACGGCCGTTTCGTCCTACTGTGAGACCTCTCAGCAGTGTGCATTTTGCCTTGCGAGATTCGAACCCAGGACCGATCGGTCTCACACACGAACGCTTAACCTCTAGACCACTGAGCCGGTCGGCATCCAATGGTGTTAATGTCTAACTTCAACTAATCCACGAAATTGAGAGACACATCCACCATTGTCTTTAGTGAGTTACTGTCTCACAAAGGATCCGGTTGAACTCCACTAGTCACGGCTTCTCATTAAAACTTCAGGAAATAACTCTTGGAGACAGTCACCAGTGAGCACGTGATGATTATAATCATAGGGGGTATTGTGGAGATTGTAGTCCTGGGTTTGAATCTCGAGAGGCGGGATCGTGGATCAGCACTGCTGAGGAGTCTCACAGTAGAACGAAACGGCCGTCCAGTGCTTCCAGGATTTCCATGGTGGTCTATCTTTAATTGACTCATGATCTCAACTATTAAAATTACTATAATATCCACAAAAGTCCTTCAGATATCAATAAAAAGAGTTAAAATTTGTTGTTCTTTTGTATCTTAAACAAACAATAACTGATTTGCAAACTTTATAAATCATACAAAAAATGTTCATTTTTTACTTGTCCATCTTTCAGACCCAATAGTAACCCTTCCTTATTCGGTAGTCCACCGATAACACGAATACAGTTCACTGGGCTATCCACAATCCATTCACGTTCTTTAATCCCCTGGTAAATAAATAAATAATTTAATGTTTTTTTTTGATTATTTTGAAAAAATGATTCCATTAAAACTTTACATTTGAATCTATTATTTTAAACATCTAAATATCTACCAGCTGGAAAAACTTCAGTCAAGTAACTGTAGTCACATAAGAAACGGTTACGATTGGAATTTGAAATTTCCTGTTCTCATGAATCATTATTTAATCTATCAGTTTGTATTGGGACATGATCGAGATATGCATCTTCAATCTAACATAGTTAACTGGAAGCGAACGCTACTGGTTTCTAATCCGGGAGGGAACATCAATACCAGTGGTATGTATACTCCCAAATAGAAGGAAACGCACATCCTGGTCTCCACTGCTAGCCACCATTCATCTCTGCTAGAAAACGTGTCATATTACGTATGATTACTATGTAATATCATCAAAATGTAGCAAGTTCATCTGAAAAAACCTATCCACAGCATGTTATTTGGTAAATACTGGTCACCATCCATCAACATAATGCAGTGATAACCGAAATTCATTCGGTTACGTTACAAACTCATTATTTTCATAAGCAATAATGACATCGACTATGTATCCCGATCTATATTGCTAAGCATAGTAATAGCAAGTTGAAAAATGCCTGAGGATAGTTCAATGAAATCATTTAACTGGTCGATATCACGAAGCTAGTAGTGATTTGTGATTGACAATATTAAATAACTTATCACAACTACGTTTACTAATCAATACGTCAGTCAGCTATTATCAGCGTAGAACAATTTATTGGTTCAAGTTGTAACACCACATTCGTACATTCAGCTATAGAGGAAATTAGCAAGATATAAAGCAGAGGCAAGACGATTCATACTCAACTATAATGGAAAACTGAATAGCAACAACAAAATTCTAAGGAAAAAAACAGGATCGAAACATATCAAGTTTGAAATGATTCAACACTCAAAATTCAGTGGAAGGTAATGAATAAACTCAAATGTGCCTAGCATAATTAATTATATATTGCAACTGTTTTGTGAGCTAAAACCAGTGTATTGATTGCTTGTTAATAATATGTAGGGCGATGTAGCCTTGAAGTTATCACAGTCATCAGACGATATAAAGAGTTTCAGTATATCGAAAGCACGGTGTTGATAGAACGATTGATAACCAGACGAGAAGACAATTTAAATTATGAAACATACTACAAGATGCAAATGAATGGTAGGAGGTTATGTATACGCATTATGTAAACCCATTGTAATATCAATAAACAATCCCACTACCCATTGTCTTATTCTAAACTAGTATCATTCAGCTACCATGTTTTTTATTAGCTAAATGTAACTCATTTATTTTACAACAACTCATTTACAATCAAATACGGATAGTGGCTAGCAGTGAAGTTCAGGGGGAGCGTTTCGTCCTATTTGAGACTTGTCAGCTAGACGTACCTGCATCTCAGAGTTGATGTTCACCCTAGGACTCGAACCCACCACCGTTCTCTTCAAACGCCATCACGTTATCCACGTAGCTACTGAGTTCTGATAGCCACTTGATTGTGCAATAGGATGAAGTTCAAATGCACTTGGTATTGTTTACTTGAATCGATCAGTCTCTTCTTGGATAACGCGATTGCGTTTGAAGCTAACTGTACTGTGTTCGAGTTCCAGAGTGAACATCAACTCTAGAATGCAGCTACATCCAGCTGACGAGTCCCAAATAAGATGAAACGCGCGTCAAGGACTTCAATGCTAGCCACTATCCATCTTTGCTTATAATGCTTGTGAATTCAGACAATATCGAGGCAGTCCACACAGGATGCACATATGGCAACAAAAGACTGATCAATTTCAGTCCTAAATAACAATTGGAAGATACAAGTTAAACAACACCAAGTGAATATCATTTACAATCAGTTGAAATTTAGTAATATAAATTGAAAAGCTAAAAGACCATGTAGAAACATTAACACTTTGATGTTTTGCGAAAAAAATGAAAAAAATTACAATTAACCCTTTCTCCCCCGCCCAACAACAACAACAACATAATTTGAAAAATATCTTACCTTAAAATTGATACATGATAAACAATTATTTTGACAAATAATTAAATGATTTGTAATAATCAGTAAATAATGACAATGAATTTGTTGTAATAATTTTGCACATATTCTATAATGCATATCTTTCATATCATCAGAAGAGGATTCATATATTAAGATTTTCTCTGAAAGTTGAATCTAGATTTTTTTTTTAAAAAAACAAAAAGAATATGGATGATAATTAGCCAATTTATTCATATGAATATAAGTTGTAGCCTCTAAATACCTTGGTACGGCCGAGGGTGGGGAGAATCAGCTCTCCCTCCCACGGCCTTCTCGTGACGGGGGTGTTGGTTACGAAATTGAGAGGAAGAAAAGTGATTATCTGGAGCTTTAACCGGATTAGTTATGGATACGGAGAATCCACCTAAGGCAGTGGGAAAACCCTGATTCTAAACCAATGGTGCACATGATCTCCAAGATCCTGAGGGAAAAAATGGCGCATGAACCAATTATTGGTCACCGGCTACTAGAGGACTGCATCGCCTTATGCTGCTCCACTTCCCTGTGGATCGAAACTTTAAGTCAAAGGCTCTGGGCGTGGCACCCTAAGAAAACCACATGCTTCGGTCTGGGCACTCGGACAGTATCTCAGCCCTCAAAAAAATCAAATCATCAGTGTGGTGCATATCTGTTTGGTGCCTCCTTGTGTCAATGCTTGTGTGTTTAAATAAATAGTGTGATTAAATCTCTACAAACAAGAATTTGACTTATTTACTGTAGATTTATATCAGTATGGGGATTTGTGAAAATTATAGTATTTTTACAGATGAATTTATGAGTCGATCTAAGCTATACCACCATTGCAAACCTGAAAGCACTGGACAGCCGTTTCGTCCTCGTATGGAACTCCTCGGTAGTGCGCAACCACGGGTCTGCTCGTGGGACTCGAACCCAGGATTTTTGGTCTCGCGCGCGAACACAGCCTTTAGGTCACTGATCCGGCATCCAACGGTTTTAATGTCTAACTTCAGTCGATCCATGATCTTGAGCAACCTTTCATTTATAATCTGAGGTGGATAATTATCTCTACTTCAAACATTGGATGAAGGGTTGCGCAAGATCATGGATCTATTGGAAGTTTGTTCATATATTTTACCAAACATGACTGAATTCTGTCAAAATGGAGAGATTATTCTGATCAGATAAGCTATAGATGTAAATGTAAACAATAAAGAAATACTTTGAAATCAACATTAGAATATCATGAACGAGTAGTGAATAAAGAATTCCCTTCATTTTTATTGTGAATTAACCAATTGAATAACTATTATAGTAAATACACTGGTTTAAATAGATAAAATAATATTAGATCAATTCCTATTTTGTTCTTTGATTTTCAAATGAACAATTTGTTTCATTTTTTCTCAGATATTTGGAGATGGTTCGTAGAATACCCTAACACTAAGTTTCTTCCTAGCTGTCATTAGTCAGCAAAGAGTATATTTTATGATGAGAAAACGGATACTCCCTGCAGGATTCAAACTTACATTTCCCAGCTTATAACTTTACCAGTGAGATATTTGGGCAGTAAATGAAGTTTTGTGGGACTAAGATATTTAAAACTTGATGATCACTCAATGGTAAATAACATCATGTTTGTCATGATAGTCAAAATATGAAAACCATACACTGAATACTTCATTTGCAAATGTCCATTATTTGTCCCTCAAATTCTGTATGATTCTTCCAATTCACAATTCTTTCTATTTCCCTTTCTATTCTCTTCAACTCAATCTTCTTAGCCTTCTGCTGCTGGGTTTTTCACTTCCGACCGGCGTTACATACTACTTATATAGACAGATATAAGTAGTATACTCGATAAAAATACATGAAAATGACAATAATTATTAATACAACAAGAAAAACAAAGATAACCGACTTACCGCCAATAAATTTTTAAATAATGATATTTTCTTCACATAATCTCGGCATTTAATACGTGCTAAATATGAAAATTAAAAAAATAATCGAATCTAATAAGAATAACAAATATAGCTTTAATAGTTGAGATCATGAGTCAATTGAAACTAGACCACCATATAAAACCCAAAAGCACTAAAAGACCGCTTCGTCCCTTTATGGAACTCCTCAGCATTGCGAATCCACAGTCTCGCCCCACTTGACTTGAACACAGGACCTATCGGTCTCGTGCGCGAACGCTTAACCTCTAGACCACTGATCCGGCATCCAACAGTGTTAATGTCTAACTTCAACCAATACACGAAATTGAGCCATACTTCCACGATTTTCTTCGACGTTAGAAGGGCTTATTTTATTGTTTTAAAATTGGATGTTTCTAATTATGGAGGACCACCAAGTAGCAAAAACATATCCTTCTGAAATTTCTTAATCAATTAACATTAGAAAAGGGGATGAACTAATTACCAAATTTGTTGATGGTTCTAGATTCAGTCATAAATGAAATTGAATGTTGTCATTGTGATTAACAACATCTCGATGTTCTATCTATTTTACAATTTTCCCTTCATAGATGATATAATCAATTCATGATGAAAACTAGATGAGAGTATAATCTATGGACGAACCAATCACGTATAAGATAATAGGTCTCAGATTCTGGAGTGAAATTCACTCATTCATTTGGTTAAATAGAGTTTTGGAATTATGGCTGACGTCAGTTCGTGATGAAAACCGGAAATCTAATTTCCAACATTAATCATCAACTGTAAATCGTTATTCTAATTCCTCACACTAGTTTATAACCCTCATTTGTCCCGGTTGTTAGGTGGACACTCTCAAGGTTACTTTAGAGTTGCTCAAAGATTGTCCATAAAGTATAGTTTCACTGACAACTATTTTGTTATTTGACAAAAGGAACTGAAACGTTACAATAGTATAAGGATTTGATATAATAATAAGTTCAGAAGTGGATTACTATTTAAATTTCATTTTAAAGCCTAAACATGACCAAAAGACTGAAATGCTCTTTGAAAACAGCTACTTAAAACTAGTTGTAAGTAATAATAAAAAAATTTAAAGATCTTCATAGAATATTCAAATACAACATTTGAACAGATAATTACTTTTAATAACTTCGTTATCATGCTCTGCAATTATAAATTCATGAATATTGTGTTATGATGACCATTTGAGGCGTATACGAACAAACAAATTAAACTCATTTAAAAAACTAAACTACTCCTTTTAAAAGAGCTATATTAAACCTCATTGCTTGTCATGATCCACGATTGTTTCCTTCAATACTTGAACTATACGATAGACCTGTACCTTTTGCCCATTCTTCTTTTATACTTATCACTATCATCTCAGTCTTTTTACATTCCTCTTTCTTAATTCGTATGAAATTTTCATCCCATTTACTGGATGATTCTTGAAATCATGAATCGATCAAACTTAAACCACCATGGAAAAACTGGAACCACCGGACAGCTGTTTCGTACTAGTGTGGGACTACTACTTAGTGAGCATACACAAATCAACATCCAGAAATTGAGCCCATTGCCTTCGGTCTCGCGCCCAAAAGCCTGACCACTAGATTACTGGGCTGGTATCCAACGATGTTAATGTCTAACTTTAATCAGTTCATCATATTGCGCGAAAATCTTCCATTGCCTTTGGTGGGTAACTGTCTCACACCTGATACGGTTTGACTCTACTGGTTACGGATGATCATTACTATCATTATTACTACTGTTACTAACAATGCTATCATTTCAGTTATTCAAACAACATTTTCTTGCGACGCATTTTATTCACAATTTATTTTGTTATGTTGATTGTAACTCCACACCGTTTTTCTGCCACTTTTCTTAAGTGACCTTTGAAATTTACAAACGCTATATTCTAAACTTTAGTTAATGCAGAAATTTACAATTCTAACAAATAAAGTGAAGCAACTCCTGGAGTTCAGATGAGAAGCCATGACCAATAGAATTCAACTATTTCGGATGTGAAACAGTTATTCATCGCACACAAAGAATGGAGGTTGCTCAATATTGTGAACAGATTGATGATAGACATATACACCATTGGATGCCGGCTCATAAATCTAGTGGACAAGCTTTTGGGCAAGAGGTCGAGGGTCATGGGCTTGATTTCTGGATGTGGGGTTGAGGCAGTGCATTGTTGGGGAGTCTCATACAACGAAGAAACGGTTATCCAGTGATCTCTGTTTTTTCATGATAGTCTAACTCAGATCAGCTGGTGATTTAAACTAAAAAAGTAAAAACTGTCAAAATGACTTATTCACATACGTTTTATTTTAGCCACTGTCATGTAATAATTATTGATTTATAACTGTAGAGCCTGATGACTAAATTATTGGAGAAGATGTTTCACTCAAACATTATTTATTATCTAAATGTCAGTCCTATATGTTTGCATCCAATGATGATTCATGGAAAATGGGTTCGAGTTTTACAGGGGGCGTCAGAATAGTGAACTGACATGTCTCGAGTTACTTGAAGTCCATTATCTAAGCTAAACTATAAAAGTATGATCAATTGCGTATAAAAATTATCAGGTTAACAAAGCAATATCATCTACTAACCTTTTTGCTCAGTTATTAAATGTTGAACAACTACATCCGTTAACGATTCACGATATGCATAACGATCTTTATAAAAGGAATATACAGGATCTAATAGAAGTTGTACAGTTTCCAATGTTCCGTCTTGACAGCCAACAACCTAAACCAATATATAGAAATTTTGTGTTAGTGTAGAAACGCGTAGGTTATCGATTTTCACTGAGATACCGAACCGATCGAAATTAGACAACTATTGAAAACCTGGAAGCACTAAACCGCTGTTTCATTCCACTAAGGGTTAGATTTGTACACTACTGAAAGCTGGCCTCAGTGTTCTGGAAGTTAGACGTCCGCTAGAGAAGCCAGAGGTCCTGAGTTCCGGGGTCTTGAATGAGAATTGGTCGAGAGTCCCACACCAAGATGAAAAAGCCGTCCAGTGATTCCAGGTTTTCAATTATTCTTGACTTCAGATAAAATGTACGTATTTCGAAAAGACATGTGAAATAAAAAATTATAACACAACCACCAAGATATCTAAATCTTTGGATATTTAATCTAGACAATTTTACTTTTCATTATTCAGCAAGAAAAGTTTGCGTCGTTTTTAAATTTGAATAGGTCATTCATCAGAACTATTCTAAGTATAAGGGGTTTTGTGGAGATTGTAGAATTTTCTTTGTTTAGACCATGAACTGATCCTAACTAGACCACTATTGACAACCTAGAAGCATTAGGCTACCGTCTCGTCCCAGTAAGGAAAACTTCAAAAGTAAGCATCCATGACACCGCATTGGAGAGACAAAACCAGGGCCTTTGACCTTCAGATCACTGAGCCTGTATCCAACTGTGTATATGTCTGACTTCAATCAATTCACAACTTTCATCCGTTGCCTGCAGTGTATAACGGTCTCAAACCCAACATAGATGAACTCCACTGGTCACGATCTCCCACTAGAATTATATATATATATACTTAGTACATTACTTCCTAATAAATCTTTAATTTTGATTTCGGTTATTCAATTGGAATCTTATTAAACACTATACAACAATAATGAAAGTATCTTAATTCAATGAGTCAACTCGAAAAGAGGTTAATCAACAGGTATAATCATATAAAGAAAAGATAATTACTTACGATTTGATTATATCCGTTACGTGTACAACAACACCATATCCATGATTGTTGTTTATTAATACATGCCAAACGTACACCTTCATTATTATATAACTGGCACATTTTATTAGATCCACAAATTGCCAATGATTCATATTTATTACCAAACCATGTTATATTGCATGGATCATATCCTAATATATAGTCTTTTCCAGTCTATAATATATTTGTATAGATGATAGAAAAACAACAGAAATAATAACGGTTTATGGCGAGACTATAATTTGTGGACGAACCAATCAGGTAAAAGATTACAGGTATCACTCATCCATTGGGCTAAATAAAAGTTTTGTCACCATAGCTGATGTCAGTTCGTGATGAAGACATGATCTAATTTCTAACCTTAATTATCAACTGTAATTCATAATTCTTATCCCCCACACAAGTTTATAACCCTCATTTGTTACTGGTTATTGAGTGGCCACTCTCAAGGTCAGTCTTGCGTCGCTCGAAGGTCGTCAATAAATTATAGTCTCACCACATTGTGATATAATTGAATGTTTATTCTGAAAAAATTCAAGATATATTTAAGAAATATTTGGTAGTATCTAAGTTTATGGACTCCAGATTTAACTATACGAATGCGGTATTAACAAAAAGTATCGACTTTGAAATTTTTCTAATCGAAATTATGTAGTTCCCAATATGTTCCCTATTAAAATTATTTGTACAGTTACCTTAACCGATCCTAAAGCAAATGTTCCAACTTACATCATTCACTGTTTAACATGGATGCTAAGAGAAATCTTTAGTCTGTTATGAATGCATTTCTGTCAACATAACTGATTGTTTTCATATCGAAATAACTCACTTCTGAACCCATCATTACAGCAGTTTATCATATAACCGTTGATCTTTACAGCCATCTTCGTAAACAAATTCTCTAAACTTTTCTTAATGTGATTCATATAAATATTTGATGGATCGGTATCAAAAAGATAACTAATAAAAATCAGACACCATTATGCATCTGTTTTGATCGAATTTAGAACAATTTAACAGTTTTCACCTATGAATTTGCATTAGATTAACAACAGGATCTTTAAGTCACATAACAAACAAAAAAATCTTTACAGTTGGATTATTATAAAGAAATAGTGGGAACTTTCGATTGCTCAACTAAGTTTGAGTTTCATAATTAGAAAACTATTCAAAACCATGAAGCACTGAACAGTGGTTTCTTCCTAGTACAGAACTTCTTATCAGTGCATACCTCTGACTACTACAGAGGTTGAACAAAGGACCTTCAGATCTCATAGAGGACATTGAAAATTTAGACCATTGAGTTGACGTCGCGGTATTGTTCAGTGCCGAGTAGTTCTATAATATGATGAAACAGCCGTCCATTGTCCTCTGCTGAAATAAAGCCAGTCCGCGATGTAGGCTACAAAATTTGACAATCTATACAACCTTTCTTATAAAGAAACTCGACTTTCTAATCTTAAACCAATGAGAACATTCTAATTGTCTGAATTCTTATAAAACTTTGTTCGAAAACAACAGGAGTTAAATAATTCCTTGGTCAGTTTCGCCTTTACGACTAAACGAATCCTATTATAGCAATTTCAAAATTTCATACTTAAAACTTATTTCGAACTTGTAGCCTATGAATATTTAAGATAACGATGATAGCTTAAAGACAGAACAGTCCATTCCACAGAAGTGATCCCCAAGTTGCCAATATACTACCATCTGACTTCCAGGAAATGGTTATTTTCCATATTCAGATACAACAAAGAAGAACTTCATATACGGGTTGGTCATTTCAAATTATCACTCTTCGTAACAAAGTAAAAAAAAAACGGAAAAATAGTGCGACAAAATTAACCACATCAAACAAGAACTGTATGTTTAATGTCTGTTGAATTTCTGTTACATTTCAGAAAGATTATTCTTCAGCATAGCTAGATAAACTATGACTACAAAGTTGTATCAGATCCCACTCTGTTCACCTCTGGAGGAATGCATAAACCTAGAAATCACGTTAACTGTTACTTATTAGTAAAGGATTGTTACATCATTGAAAGAATTAGTAGATTTTGGTGGTGTTTTGTTCTCTGAGCTCATAGAACAAAAAAAACCAAAATCATCCACCTGAGCTACAAATCTTCTCCACCATCTCAGAATTAGTAGATCCTATAAAATTAAAACCCAAGTAAACCAATGAAAATGTTAGAGGTGTCACCATTGATTTGTTGAAACTCTATACGATTTGCTGATGAGCACCGGCTAGCATGAAACCGAAATCCAAGCCCTTCTATAAAGTACCTCTAATTAAAAACACTATTGACTTATAGATTTTATTATTGATGGGTTTGTAATATTTTGATGGAGTTTTGTTCTCTGAGCTAGATGGTTTGGTTGTAGAGCTTTCTTCGTTCTTCTGAACGACATCATCAGCACAAACTTCAGGTAGAAGACTTCTGCTTGTAATAATAAGATACTTTATGGTGATGGTTTTCTTCGAGAAAGTTAAACTTCTAATATTTTTATTAACACAATACGATAGATGCCTGTGGTAGAAAATATATTCTTACTTGTCTTCCACATAATTGATAAAACGATAACTTTTGATTCCAGTCAACAACTGCTAATATTTCACCGTGATCATTTCTAAAACGTATAAAACAAAAGAAGGAATTAAACAATAAACTAAATGAGCTAGGTTACTGAAAATAGTCTACGTTGACTGGTAGATAAATTATGCTATGCCTAATCACTGCTTATCCAAATCAAGAATGTTAAATAGGATAAACGCCAATCGTAAAAACAGTTCAGCGAAACCAAATAAAGGCATGATACATATTTATTGTATCACTATTTCTATGAAAGTCTTAAACTGTTAGTCTTTTTAGCTCGATACTACAGTATTTTAAGTCATAGATAGTTAGTGTTCAAAACTGATTGGAAAATAGATCTGTTATATCGATATTTCACTAACCATTGAAAAGTAATACATTGACTGAAGACAAAAATTAAACTGAAACATACGACTAAAGTCATAAATAGATGATAGATTTCAATGTTTCAATTATCCTGAATGTTAAGTTTGTTCACATGTCCTTATCCTCCTCTATATCTAACCATATTTTGTGTATTACTCTATACTACTAACTAGTCTTCAGTAACTAGTTTATCCTTAATAACCTTTGAGCAAGAATTGTGTATAGTGTATTCGTTGTCCTGAGTATTCTTAAGTATTTACATAAACTAGTAACATTCACCGGATCCTTTTGCTTTGATTACATTGTCTCAACACTTGTAACAGTTACCTTCGATTTTTGTACATTCCTTGAATGTTTGTTTAGACTCAACAGCTTCCATATTTTTTTACGCTTAGTCATCATTAACTTTAGATACGGCTACCAGTTGTCATTTACGCTGTTGTATGTTTTAACGAATGAAGAATTTAAAGTGAGGAATATTTCATTCCCGAGGATATTTCCTGAAACCTTACTACCGTATTTATATGTGGTTTGTTTTTACATGTAGTCGTCTATAGAAAAATACAGTGGTCCCATAAAATTATCAAAGGTGGCTAAACCTATTCAAGTGCAGGTCAATCAAAATGACGTGTTTTTCCCTATACAGCTTCAGAGAATGATGTTGCCGAAAATTAAATTTTCTTCACCTAAACGTTTTCATTTTTTTAATGAGTTAATCGACTTCTTTCGCTATAATGGATCTTTATGGACTTACTGCGGGAAGCATTTTCCCTCACATGTACACTGGCGTGCTAACCGCCAGAGATAACTGAGTAGTTAAGGTCTGAAACTAATTCACATATGTTTTATAATAATGGGACCGTTTTTCAGATTAAACGTTTTTTCTTTAATTAAATTTTTAAGCGCATATGGGTCATGCAGCCGGACGCTATGGCAAATTTAACACATCAATGCTAATCAACACAATATCCAGAAGTACTGACATGAATATTGATTTCTGTCTACATATCCAATAGTAAAACATGTGACTTAATTGTGAAGATGACAATATATGTTTATTCTGGTTTGTTTAAAAACAGATCAACAGTGGCTTCGAATAAAAATAGATATGGGTGTATACATTGGTAGTTGGTTTCACCGACAAGATAATGAGTTAAACGTTTGAAAACACTGCTAAATGTTTCAAAATACATTAATCTCCATTCAAAATAATTTTCATCAAATGTCAGTTTACTAAACAACGATTATTTCTTTAACAGTGAGTAATAATAGAAAAGGGTGTAATAAAAAGATGATAAGAGAATGAATCGTCGATTACGTAATGCAAAATCTTAAATCGACCACGGTTACCCTTTATATTGGTCAGTGAGAGCATCTGTAGCAAAAGAAACTGTCCGGAGAAAAATTTGGGAGAATAACTTACAATGGACAATTAAATTATGGTAATCAACATTAAACAGCAAAAAGTGTATAAAATAAGAGGAGAATATTGATCTAAAACATTTCAATCTCGTGATTAACCAAAAGTTATTAAAATTATATATATATATATATATATATATATATATATATATATATATATATATATATATATATATATATATATATATATATCAGTTTACTTTGATGGATTCCATTTAACGTGCCATATAATTGGATTGCCTGTGCGTTCAATTTTCACTACTTCCTCAGTTTCCTAGAACAAATATATAAAGCATTCAAATATTGTCCACATAAATAATTATTTAAATGAAATGAATTGTAATCTAACTCATTGGTCTGTGAAAAAATGCTAACCGAAGGATAACTGCTTCAAGCGCCATATATATAGGCCTCAGTTATTAAGATTAGACTTTACAAAACAAGCGTAAACAATAATATACAAGCCTGTGCAAAACTTTATCACGACAAAACTGTGCTATACGTTTGAGGCATTAGTTAGCGTGCAAAACCCCTTAAGTTCTCGGCGCATGTATCAATATAGAATTAGAAACTAGTGTTCGCGATCAGGAATAAGAGCGATGATTAGGTTGTCATAATGATACGAAATCAGCTGTAATGTAATGGTGCCAGACTTTATATCTAATAATGCATTTACCCCCGCTGTTTACTGGCTGGTTAAACGGGGAAAGATCCCAAAGCTGTTTGGCAGTACAGACCAACTTTATCTTTATCACTTTTCGAAACTTTAAAAATGTATTTCCACTTAGTATTACTGTGGAATGATACTGTTTTATGTTTTAGCAAACGCTTTATTTACATTCTTAATGCAATATGTGTTCACCATATTTTTTATCTTTAAACGCTGGTCCATTCACAGAAACTACAGTGCATTTTAAACAGATACTGGAACGTCCTTATCATATAATACATTCAATGACATGAATAATGTTATCCCCTTACAATTCGTTGGTAGATAAGAGTTTTTACATAAGTAGACACCAATGTACTAACACATTACAGGTATTTTTGATATAAATATAAACCCCAATAATAGCAAAAATAGTTAATATGTTTTAAAAATCTTTAGAACAATAACCTCAGTGATCAACCTGCTATTGCTTTTATTACACTGTTACTAAATCACTTTGTGATACCTGAAAAACTGCTTTGAAAGTAAAAGTCATAAAAACCGACGTCAGCCATGTCCTAGAAAGCCATTTTTTTTAATTGCATGGAAATGTATATCAGTTATGTAACGTCATGGTTAGTGGATTTATGATCATCAGGTCAAAACATGGTGTACATATAAAAATTTCAAAACCTGTGAGGCGTGGATCACGGCCTATAGAACGAGTTTAGAGTTAATGGTAGAAATCTATCTACCATGGATACTTAGTGCTTACCTCATAGTAACAAATTAAACAAATATAAATATTATGAATCGTCTAAGTGTGATTAATTGAATATAACAGATAGAATGCTTTTCTTTCAAAAACAAGCTTCCATAGTGAGTTTAACACTAAACTTATTAATATTATTCCCAAACCTATATCAAAATTTTCCAAAATATCCATGAAAACTAGTAATTTTTGGTGGTTGATGCAGTGTTCTGACTACATAGATATGTAAATACACAAACAGGTAACCAAGCCAATAAAACACTTTACAAGAAGAAGAAGTGATATCGACATTGATATTAAGTCTCTGAAGTAATAACACCGTCAAAGATTACCATAATTTTTCTAAAGACACTGGGAGAGTATATTGTTTGTTGATCAATAATCACTAGTGCAAAGGTATTACCAGTTTTGTAATCCGCCCAAATGGACTCAGCTTTTAGGAGGTAATTTAATTCAACGTCTAACGACCGTAGTAAATAATAAGTGGGAATCAATTTCTGACACATCAGTATGCACAGACGTTTGATATGTTTCAACCAAAAAGGCACACACAAAGTTTGCAAAATGTAGGTGTATCAAAACGTAATTACCTTATTACGAATGCTAATCACACCGTTATAAAGACCAATAGCTAAAAGATGTCCATCAGACTTCCAACTACAACACGTAGGACGAGCCGATATCTTAGTTTTAACGACCGACTTTTGATCCATAGTCCAGAAACCTAGTATATTAAATAATACATATGGACTAACCGAAATCTGTACTCCCAGTGCTAGCTAGAAGCACAGTAACAGGGTTGAATTCCAAACACTGAATTGATTCATTGTGTCTGATAATATGTAAATATCAATATGAAAAAAGCACTTACACATATTTCAGCAAGCCTTCTAACGTAGACGACTTCCAGATGATTACACACTTGTCGGATGACCCGCTTGCAAATATGCTGGAATCATGAGCATATGAAACGCAATAAACTGTATCCTTGTGACCTTTCAGGTTCTTAATCAGACTGCCGTTATCGGCCCTGTATACCCATACTAAGTTCCCAGAAGCTACAATAAGTTGCGATCCATCCGGACTAAAGCACAGATCCCATATACTGCAAGAAAACTGAGTAATATTTCTGGAACAATTATACCAGTTAGCAACACCATCTTTCCCTTTGACCTTGAAGGACCAAACTTGCGCGGTATCCATACCATCTGTTTACATTCATATGTAGGTCAAGAGTTTCACCTTTGGAAGTAAGTATTTTAAACAACTCAGTCTTCAGTAATAAGGATAGGAGGTCTGTCGACCTATATTAATCCTTGCAGTTTGTAATACTGTGGAAGTCCAACCTCGTTTTGAATATATTAACAGACGGTGCTGATATTACGTGTTCCGGTAGAGAATTCCAGTAATTCACTACTCGGTGCGAGAAACGGCACTACAGACGTAAACGGTTTGATCTTGGTTTTTGAACTTTCTTCGAATGTCCTCTCAATTGATCGGTTCTAGACGGAAGCAAAAGATAAGACATGTTAATACCAAGGTCATCGTTCAGTATACGATAAGCCAATATTAGATCACCCCGTACTCTACGGTAAGATAACGGAAATAAGTTAGGGTGTCTCAGTCTGTCTTCATAAGATAGGCCAGATAGACCCTGTACCACCTTAGTAGCTCGTCGTTGGACTCTTTCTGGCATATCTGCTTCATATTTGAAACAAGGACTAGCTGCTTGAATCCCGTATTCTAAATGTGGTCGCACATAAATCGGGTATAGTAATCCAAACATTTCATCATCTAAATACTGAAAAGACCTACGAATTGACCATAATACTCTATAGCCTTTTGCAGCAGCAGCCTTACAGTGACTAGTCGTTTTGAGATCATTGATTAATATAACTCCTAAATCTTTGTAGTTTCTTGCTTTGGGTAGCACGAATCCACGTAGTGTATAGTCATACGATTCATCAGAGTTATTTAACTGCATCACTACACTCTTATTAGAATTTACTTCTAGTGACCATCTGTCTAACCATGCCACCAATGAGCTAAGATCGTCCTGTAATACTATTCTATCCGACATACTATGTATGGGTCTCCAAATCTTTATGTCATCAGCGAAGAGTAGAACGGATGATTTTGCTACAGTTGGCAATTCATTTACATAAAGTAAAAAGAGAAGAGAACCTAGAATTGTGCCTTGGGGAACCCCACTTTTTACAGGTACCCACGAAGAGAGAGCCCCATTAACCCTTACCCTTCGTCTCCTGACATGGAGAAAGTTACTTATCCAATCTACGACTGGATAATGGATTTCAAAATGTTCCAGTTTGAATTTAAGACCAGAGTGGGAAACCTTATCGAAGGCTTTACTTAGATCTATGAAAATTACATTCACAGGAGCATTCCGATCCTTTGCCGCAGCCCACTCTACTCGTGCAATGAGAAGATTTGTCAAGCATGATAGGCCTTTCCGAAAACCATGTTGTGCCCTGGAGAAAAGATTTTGCCCTTCAACATAGTTTATAACAGCTATCCGAATGATTTTCTCCATCAGTTTCACGACTGCACTAGTTAAGCTAACGGGTCTATAGTTACTAACTAAATCCCTACTCCCAGCCTTATACACCGGACTTATTATGGCGTCTTTCTAGTCTCTAGGAAGTCTAGACTGTCTCAGAGACATGTCGAGTAGTATCGCTAATGGTTCAGCAATTTCATCTGATATGGCTTTCATAATCCTAGGATGAATATCATCGGGACCACTGGACTTATCAGGTTTGAGATGCTGAAGTAGCCTTAAAACAGTATTTTTCTCAATGACTACAGGATCCATCAGCGAGCCGTCACGGTCACGATGAATCATTGGTCGTTCCTCATTACCGATAGAAAACACTTTACTAAAATATTCCGATAAAGCTTCAGCTTTTTCGGCATCATTCTCTGCTAAGATTAACGGATTGTCTCGTATCAAAAGTGATGGAATTCCATCGCTTCTCTTAATTCGCCTTTTTATATACGAGAATAACCGTTTCGGACTATATCTAGAATCCCTAACCAACTGTTTTTCGTATGATAGTCTAGTTTTACTTATTAACGCTTCACAGGCATTCCTAATCTTACAATAACTGGATCTGTATTGTTCTAAGCCAGTAGAGATGAACATATTCCAGTGATTCTTCCTTTTTCTAAGGAGTTTCCTGACCGTTTTAGTTATCCATGGTGGACTATTTTTCGGTCTTCGCGGTACCAGGTATGGTATGAACGGGGACGTAACTAGTCTAAATTTACCTTTAAATACAGACCATGCTTCTTCAACTGATATGCTAGTATCTACTAACCAATCTGTCTTAGCAGCGCATTTCTGAATGGCTGATATGTTAGCTTTTCATACATTTGGGCGCTGTGTAACCTGATCGTATAACATGTCCTTAGTTCTAAACGCAAATGACAAAACAGCGTGATCGCTGTTTACTAACGGTGGAAGAATATTTAAGTCGACAATATCCTCAGTCTCATGAGTGATTACCAAATCCAGCAGAGAAGAACCCTGGTTAACACCAAAATGTGTGGGTTGGGATACATGCTGCACTAGTGCATTCTCCATTATTGTTATCAGTAACCTACTATCAAAGGAGTTTATAGATCCTTCTGTGGTCATATCAGTCCAACTAATATCAGGTGCGTTAAAGTCTCCTATTATCAAACATCTGGTATTATCACTCCAAAGATGAATGTGCTCTAAAACAAAGTCATCAGCTAGGCAGATTGGGCTGCGATAGATGACACCTAGCATAAATGTACTACATCCTATAGCCAACTTACAGCTAATGACTTCACAAGTGCCGCTATCATGGGATTCGCTAGTAGAGGAGTAGATATTTATGCCATTGGCTATATATAACAGGACGCCGCCTCCTTTTCTACATCCATGTCTATCACTCCTGATGCAATGGTATCCGGATAATTCTGGAGCAATGTCTAAGTCATCGACTAACCAAGTTTCTGTCACTGCTACTATGAGTGGCTTTAACCTGTCTACTAGGGCTTCTAGTTCATAGAACTTATTTCGTAAACTACGAGCGTTGGCATATAAAACTCCTAAGTAGAACAGCCTATCCACACAGGCCTTGGTAGCATTCGCTTCCAAGACCTGACTATCCGAAAACCCACTAGCCGGAGATTTTCCTCGCCGTTTTGCCGACGGGTTTCAAGTTCAGCTAGTGCTTTCTTCCTTTTTATTCTATCTTCGAGAGACATGTCAGGTCTAACTCGGATGTCAGAATTGTCGTGACAACGAGCGCTACTTAACAAGAGATCCCGTTGCTTCTCCGATCCTAGGATTACCTTAAGGAGTCTGCGTGGACGGGGTTCAACATTGTCTTCGGTCCTCTTGCCTATTCTTACCAATTTTTTGACCTGAACTCCTTTGGAGTTATCTGGTAAAATACTACGAATGTATTCTCCTAGCTTTTCTAAGTCATGCGCGTGTCTAATTTTCGGATCAGGGTCGTTTGACTCCCGCAATTTGCTCACAATAATATTCGATGTTATTAGATTTTTCTTCTCAGTCACGCCAGGATGGGCTTCACTCTTACCATCAGATCTTGGTAGTGCAATTTGTGGCTCACAATTTGAGTCCACCAGTGAGTTACTAACTACCTGTGTACTGCTTACAGCTTTTTTCTTTTCGTTTCGTTTCCTACGTACCGTAGTCCATTTTTCATCCCTCATAACACTGGGACTATTTGGAACGGTGACTGTTTTATCCAGATCTTCGGTTCCCATTAAAGGTGCATTATTAACAATGTCAGTACCAGGTGGTACTACTCCCCCTGTTAATGTCAACAAAGATTCCACTTTTACGTCGGTCAGAGTCGGTTGTTTGAGGCGTCGCGTAACAGCAGGTACTACACTGACACATTCGTCGCTGTCAGTGCCCGTGTTGTCAGCGCATATGCCATCCTTCTTTTTACAGGCCAAAGCCAACAGGCTCATAGCCTCCTGTATTAGTAATGCCTTGTTGGCACAGCAAAACATGCATAGCCAATGTGAGTTAGGCTTCGAACATCTTTTGTATGCGGTGGGACTTAAGTGGGTGCACATTTTGTGGAACCATTTATGGCATTCGTCACACTACATTCCCTCTTCCACAGGGAACAAACAGTTTGGTTGTCCACATTTGTGAGTACTACCAACCATTTTAGTCTGATCAAGGTGTAAGACACAATATGATCACAGTATGAACACAAATGTCAGTCAACGAATAAAAGGTTACCACAAGAAAAACTTTAGCAAGATTTCAAACCTTAACGAAAGTACTTTGACACAGACCAAGAATGCTTCGAACGTAATAAATACACAAAAGCCAAAAAACTCAACAGAATATCACTTTAACTGTATTAGATTCAATTAAAGTGTAAATCGTAGTTTTGATACGTAATTTACGATCAAAACAATTTACTAATTCAACGAGAAACAATACCACTGTCCTAATTTGTCCATGAAGAGGTTTGTCATAAATAATTGATCTTTGTCGAACTGTGTTAAAAAACTGAAACTTCTTCATCATTTGGTTGATTGAAAAGCACGAGCGGAAGAGAAGACGAGTCAGCTGAATCACCACTCGACTTATTCCCGATTGAGATTAGCGTAAAAAGACCTGTAGTGACTCACATTTGTCACGAGAACACGACTGGTTTAATAAAAACAATCA